TACGTTGACATAAATCTGGATCCCTTCTTGCACACGTTCAAATATAGAATCCACAGGGTTCAGGATCCCAGTATGAGCTGTAATCATACCTGACACCAATCGAGTGTTTCTACACGCCAGGCACTGTGCTCTGCTCCTTACTGTGTATTAACTCACTGAGTCCTAAACTGATGCCATGAAGGAAACACTGTTATTACCTCCATCTGACAAACAAGGAAACTGAGGCACAGAGAGGTTTTTTGTAACTTGCTCAAGGCAAGGCCAGGACTAGGGCGAGGCGAGTGAGGGGAGTCATGCAAGATCGAATCCTGTCTTAAAATTTTGATATTTTGTTCATCATGGGTTTTTGCCTTAAATTTGATTTTTTTAAAATAATGCATTAAAATATTATTTATGTTGCTTACTGAGTTTTTTGGTGTCCCTTTAAATGTCTCACCCAAGGGCAGTCCCAGAGCCGGGAAGGAGAAGAGCTGGGGTTCCAGTGCAGGCAGCTGGGCTTCAGAGGCAGTGAACCATATTGTTACAACACTTTTCTAGAATGTAAATCTATCAGGTCAATAGAATAAGATGTTGGAGAATATCTCTGTAACCTGGAGGTGAGGAAACACTTCCGGGAAGACTCAGAGCGCAAATCTGATGGATCTGACTATATAAAAATGAGGATTGTTCTTTCACACAAAGTCGAGAGACAAAGACAGACAGGAGGGAGATATGGACAACATCAGAACCCAGCAAGGGAGGAGTACTTAGATACATACAGACGTGCAAATCAGAGACAGGACCCAATAGAAGAAATGGACAAAGGATATGAAGAGACAATTCACAGAAGATGGAACCTCCATGACTGACAAGTGCATGGAGAGCTGCCTGAAGTCTTCAGTGGTCAGAGAACCCAGATAAAAGTGAGGCACCACTTTAGATGAATCAGATTGGCAAAGCATTAGAAATCTGGAATACCGGTACTAAGGAAAACCGGAGCCTTCGTGGTGGACGTGTAAATTCATATAGCCACGCAGAAGAGCAGCCGTGGCACTCTGTGATGTCAAGGGTGCATGTACCCTATGGCCTGGAAGTCCTACTCCAAGAAGAATTCTCCCACAGTCCGTAAAGGGACAGTGTGAAGATGTTCACAGCTGTGATGTGTGTGACGGGGCACTGAGGCCAAGCTAAGTGTGCATCCCTGAGTGGGGGTGGTAGATAATAAAAATCCTGGATGCCCAACACAGTTACCACGTACAACTGGTAGAAGCAATAAATGACGTGCATGTGGAAAACATTAGTGTTGAGTGGAAAAATGTAAACAACAGAGTTTTATACGTGACACCACGTTTGTAAATTGCAAACATCCACCTTGAGCCAATGCCAGGTGCAGTGGAGGGCCAGGCAGGATTCAAGGACACTGACTGAGCACACTGACGTGGGGCCCTGCAAAAGCAAGGGGAGAGGAGGGAAGATGGGGAGAGAAGGCGGGAAAAGCAAGGAACAGAACTGGAGAGAGGGCTTGTTCACAGTGATGCTGTGGCACAAACGGAGACTAGGAGTGACTCAACTCTGTATACGAGGGCATAAAATGAAGTGGGGGTGGGTGGGTGGAGGAGGATGACCACCCCTGGAGCTAGGTGGACCTGGGTTCAAATCCTATTTCTACCAAGGGCAAGCATTTGGGATTTTGGCAAAGCACTCGTTCATTTCTTCCGCAAATATTGAGCATCTGTTTAGTGCCAAACACGGTTCCGGGCCCTGTAGACACTGTGGTGAATAAAATGGCGTAAAATGAGATAATTTCAGGTTAAGTGCTATGTGGTGTGAAACTGACTTTAGATTGCTTAGTCAGGGATGGCTTCTCTAAGAGGTGACATTTGAGCAGGGACTCGGATGATGAAAGGATCTAGCCGTGGAAGAGCAAGGTTAAGTGCTTTCCAGGCACAGGGAACAGCACGTACTGAAGTGGGCATGAGCTTGGCCCGTGTGGCCGAGTGGGGTGACACAGGGGCAGAGGTGGACTTGAGATTAGGAGAGATGGGCAGGGACCAGAGCATTCAGAGTCGAGTTCAGATTTTATTCTAATCACAGTGGAAAACCAAGGGACGGTTTTAAGCAGAGGAGTGAGTTAGCAGGGTACTTAAAGAAAAACGTTTTATTTAAGAATAACACACAAAGGATCAGATATGGCTTAAAAGGTCACTTTGGCTGTTGCGTGGAGACCGGATGGGAGGGGAGTGGAAGCCACACATAAGGTCTCTGAGCCTCAGTTTCCACATCTGCAAGGTGGCAAGAATATCCCTCCCGTGCAGGGCCGTGGTGAATAAGGGTGGGGAACAGTCAGTTCCCAGGAGTCTCCTTGGTACTCGAAGAACCGGCTGGGACGCAGAAGGCTCCATCTCGGGTTTGGGAGGCTGGCGCAGCCTCTTCAAGCCCTTGGTACAGACCTAGGAATTGCGTCCGAGAGCGGCACCTGCTGTTGTTTGCGGAAGCTGCCGCTAGGCGGCACCGCGGGCCCGGCGCCGTTCGGACGAGAGGAGGCCCCGCCCACGAGTCCGCTCTGCGCTCGGCAGCGAGGGCCTGCTAGGGGCATGCGGGGGCGGGGGCCTTCGCGGGGGGCGGGGCCTCGGCCGGGACGCCTGGCCCCCTAGACGGCGGCGAGGGGCGGGGCCTGCGCGTGGGGGCGGGGCCTCGGCCTGGACGCCGGGCCGTCGGGCTCCCTGGACGACGGCGCGGGGGCGGGGCCGCGGCGACGCGGGGCAGGCGGCGCGGATGGCGGCGGCGCAGGGCTCTTGAGCCGGCCCGGGCCATGAGCGCCGCCCGGCCCCAGTTCAGCATCGATGACGCCTTCGAGCTGTCTCTGGAGGACGCGGGTCCCGGGCCCGAGTCCAGCGGCGTCACCCGCTTCGGGCCGCTGCACTTCGAGCGCCGGGCCCGGTTCGAGGTGGCCGAGGAGGACAAGCAGTCCCGGCTGCGCTACCAGGTGAACGGCCCGGCCCACCTCACCCCCTGGGCGGGACCACAGGCCGGGGCCCGGAGAACCCCAACTCGGAGACTCTGCTTAGAGACCCCAGCAGGAGCGGGCGACCGCCCCGCTGACGTGGCCCCTGATCCAGAGCCCTGCCCAGACCCTCTCAGCTCTGATTTCGGTCGCCAGCCACCACTGGAGAGCCCAGAGCCCGGACCGGGAACTCGCCCCCCACCCCTAGCTGGAGATCCCATCTGGAGTCTCCGTCCATGCTGGGTACCGACCCTCCCCCGTTCCCACCGCTGGGCTGGGGAGCTCTTTTGTACCTGAACCGGACCTTGCCTGTACTCAGGGGCAGCCCCCTGAAGCCCAGGCCAGATGATCTAACGGGACCCTGCACCCCTCTTCAGTTCTGGAAGTCCCCACGCTACCTTTCCCCTCAAAGCTGGAGGACCCCCTCACATGAGACCTTGCCCACCCTTGACTCCCACTAAACTGGAAACCCCGATTTACCCGGAGGACCTCCACCAACTCTAGGATCCTCTTCTTGAAGACCTGGACCAGATTTCTGGGCTCTAAACCTACAAATCCTGGGCCTGCCCTTTCCTGGCACCCCAAATCCAGAGCCTCCTTCCTGGGCCCCTGAAATACCATCCTGATAGCCCTACCCTGACACCCAAACTTGAGGGATCTCCTGGCCCGGGGACCCATGCTGGGAGCCTCAACCTGCCCCTGCTGGCCCCTGCCCCCCAAAGTCCCTAGCACCTACCTCCTACCTGGGTTTCGGTTTCTGTGAATCATCAAACCCGTTCTGCGGGGAGGGCGGAGGGCCAGGTGCACAGCTGTCAAGCGGCCAGGTCAACAGCTGTCTAGGCCTACCTTCCTCCTCCCTCCTGGCCCAACAGGGGAGTGAGGAGGGGCCTGAGCCCACAGCCCCTCTGAGCCCTGTGTTCTGAAACAGAACCTGGAGAATGATGAGGATGGAGCCCAGCCCTCTTCGGAGCCAGATGGAGGAGTCAGCACCAGGTCAGGGCCAGGTGGGGACCCACCCTGTACCCCAGCTGCATGCCTCTGACTCCTGTCCCCAGGGCCCTGCCCAGTCCTAAATTCACCTCACTCAGCTCTCTCACATCCTGTCCTCCAAGGACTCCTAGCCTGACCCCTAGTCCCCTCATGGGGTCCCTCACCCTGCAGGGTCACCGTACTCCAGTGCCAGCCTCACCCACCCATCCCCACCAGGCTCTTTATCTTGCAGATACTCCCAGCCTGGTCTGGCCCCTACGTCCCACAGGTTACCTGTGCTGCATTAGTCCTTAGCTCGAATCCCCAGCTTCCTCCACCCACAGTCCTGCAGAAAGCTCCACCCCTTGAATTCATCTTCACCCTATCCCCTCTCAGTGCTCCCTGTCCTGCAGGAACACCCAACCCTAGTCCTTGCACACCCCGGCCACATCATCATGACTCCTGTCCCGAAGGGACCCCCTTCTTTGCCTCCCTCTGCCCCCTCACTGGGCCACCTGTCCTACAGGGATTCCGTCCAGACATCCATCGGCAGCTCCCAGTGGTCCTTTAGCACCATCAGCAACAGCACGCAGCGCTCCTACCGTGCCTGCTGCAGGTGAGACCTGCCCTGCTTGAGCCACCTGTGGCCCCTGCCCCAGGACAGGCAGCCCTGGCTATTCCCCCTCAGCCCTCCTCCACCCGCTCCTCTCACCTCTTTCACGCCTGTCCTGCTCTCTTGCCGCCAGCTGGACTCAACACCCTTTGATCCAGAAGAACCGCCGGGTAGTGCTGGCCTCCTTCCTGCTCCTGCTGCTGGGGCTGGGTGAGTACCCCCAAGGGCCCCCGGCCTCCACCCGAGAGGGGTCCACTCTCCCATCCCCCTGGGCACTCTGAGCCTCCCAGCATCCTGAGGGGCAGCTGGCTGCTATCCCTCCAGCCCCATTTTACAGGTGAGGAAACTGAGGCCTTGAGGGGCAGGCCTGGCCTCCTGGTCACACAGCCAGGAAATCACCTGTGTTGAAAATGGAACCCAGTTAGTGGTCCACACTTTTTTTTTTTTTCTTAGCCTGTTTAATCTATAAGGGAATAGAAGAGTAACAGCTCCCGTTTATTCTGTGTCTACTTCGAGCCGGGTGTGGGGCAGGCTTGTCTTCCCTGCCTTGCAGAGGTCACACAGCAAGTGAAAGGTCGGGCCCTGACCCAGAACCCACCTGTAGGGGCGGGTGCTCAGAGCCAGGGATGCTGCGTGGCCTGCCAGCCCGATGCGCCGGGCACCTGTCACTTCCACTCCTCCAGAGTCAGAGTTGATGAGGACCTCTCTCCTACCCCCATTGTTCAGAGGGGAAACCGAGGCAGGCAGCTCTCATGGCCAGATGTTTTCTGACTCCCACAGTCATTCCATGGGGCTGCGGAGTCACGGTCCCCGGAAGAGATCTACAGTGGGGATTAAGAGTGGCCATAAGAAGGGTCCAGCTGTGGCAGCTGCCCTCCCTCCTCCAGGAAGGTCGAAGTCCCCTGGCCTCAGAGCTGAGCAGGGTCCTCGCCTCAGCTCCGGGTGTCTGTGTGCAGGGGAGGGAGCTCCACTGCCCCCACACCCCCTGCACACTGGCCAGTGTCCGCACTGGCCGCCTGCCTTATCTCGTTTGATCCTCTCTCAGTGCCCAGCAAAGCGACCATTACTACCACCCCAGGTGAGGAAGGAAGGACACAGACTCAGGCAGCGGAAGGGACTTGCTCTGCTCACAGCTGGGAACTAGACAAGCTGAGATTTAAACCGACATTAGTGACATCACCAGGCTTGGGGACCACCGTAGGCCCATAACGGGCCTTTGTAGGAATTAGAAAAAGATGCCACCTCTGAGTGGGCCGAGCGCACGGCCCTGAGCCAGGTGCAGGGAGTGAGTTTTAGCCCCCAGCCCACCCCTTTTGAGGTGCTCTTTGCAGGGTGCACACACACAGCAGTCCGTGGGGGCCCCTCGAGCCTCCCGGCTGAACTGCCCCCCTGGCTGCAGGGTCCACCTCCCCATTCCGTCCTCCAACTGGGGACCCAGCACTCTCTCTCAGTCTGAAAAGTTGCTCCAGCCATGACCTCCTCACCTTCCCCAGTGCCCCCTGTCCTCAGCCGAAGTCCACGTCCCTCCCTGGGCCTGCGGTACCTGCCAGATTCCTCAAGCCTGGCCTCTTGCCCCCCCAGTCTGCCAAAAGCTAGAGGCTCCTAGAAAGCCCCAGGTTCCCCCCAGACTCGGGGCCTTTGCCAGGCTGTTCCCTCCATCTGGAACACTCCCCTGCCTCTGCCTGTGCGATGCCCATGGCAAGGCCTCCCCCTTCCAAATGCACCAAAAGTCACTTCCCCTCTGTACCTCGAGTCATCTCTGAAATGGGGATGGTAACACCTGTCTCAGTGGGTCAAGGCGACAGTTAAATAAGGCACTGCATGCAACACACTTAGCCCAGGCTGGCAGCACCTGGTAAATGGTGACTAAACGTTGACTGCTCTTGCTGCTGCCACCCCTGCTCAGCTTAGATGCCACTGCCTCCAAGAAGCCCCTCCCTGATCCCCCAGGTTGCCTGATCTTCCCCCACCATATCCTGACCACCCTGATTGTACCTGGGAGGTTCTCTCTCTTTTTTTTTTTGAGTAAGATTAGCCCCGAGCTAACATCTGCTGCCAGTCCTCTTTTTACTGAGGAAGACTGGCCCTGAGCTGACATCCATGCCCATCTTCCTCTACTTTATATGTGTGATGCCTACCACAGCATGGCTTGCCAAGTGGTGCCATGTCCACGCCCGGGATCCGGGCCAGCAAACCCTGGGCCACCAAAGCGGAACATGCGCACTTAACCGCTGAGCCGCCAGGCCGGCCCCAGCTGGGAGTTTCTTGTTGGTTGCTCCACTAGGGAAGGGCCGTGAGGCAGGGACCTCATCTGCTTTTCCCCACGGGATTTCCAGGACCTGGCACCCAGCAAGTGCTCCATAATGTTTGTTGGTTGACTCAAAGGCCACACCAAGGAGCAGACAGAAATCTCTCGTTTCACAGACATTTCCCAGGGCCTGCCAGCTGCCCCGCTCTGAAAACACAGAGCTTGGTGAGCTCCCCAGGGAGGGTCTCTGCTCAGGGGATCTTCAGCTCAGGTGGGCGACCCATTCCTCAGGCCTAAGCCGTTTTGGGGGTTTCGGGTAGAGGTCCCCGCCCTGCACCCTGCCCCCTGCTCCCGCCCTCACCCTCGCGGCTCCATCTGTGTGCAGTGCTCATCCTGATCGGCGTGGGACTGGAGGTGGCCCCTTCGCCAGGTGAGCGTCCCCTCCTACCGCGGCAGGCAGCGCTCACACCCCCTACCCGGGTCCTTGGCAAGCCCTCACACCTGCCAGCTCTCCCACCTTAACAGCCGGACCCGGCCCCTTCTGCCGCGGAGAGGGAGCCGGGCTGGGACGCCCTCAGCCCCGCCCCGGCGCCTCCCTGCCCTCACCCGGCCACTCCCCTCCTCCCGCAGGTGTCTCCAGCGCCATCTTCTTCGTGCCCGGCTTCCTGTTGTTGGTCCCGGGAGGTGCGAGCCGGGAGCGGGCAGCGGGCAGCGGGAGGGGCGGGGCGGAGCAGGGGCGGGGGGCGGGGCCCGGATGCGGGGCGGGGGGCGGGGCCGGGCCGGGGCGGTCCCTGGGCGGGGCCTCGGCGCTGACAGGCCCCGCCCCGCAGTGTACCACGTGGTGTTCATCTACTGCGCCGTCAAGGGCCACCGGGGCTTCCAGTTCTTCTATCTGCCCTACTTCGAGAAGTGAGCCGCCGGCGGACGGCCTGCATCCAGCGTCGCCTCCGAGCGGCTTTTGCGGCCTCCTCGCGTCCCCAGGGGGCGCTCCTCGGGCCCGCGCCCCGCTGTTTCCCTCATCTCAAGGGAAAAGCCCCTTCAGGACCCTTGAGCCCCTAGCTCCACTGGGAGTTTGCTCAGGAAGTTTGGGGCTCCTGGGCCTAGGAAAGTGCCCCTCGCCTGCTCTGTGCCTTAACTTATTCTCCGGCCTTGGGGCTGCTGGGTTGGTGGTGGTTTGTGCTAATAAAAGGGGTACTTAATTCCAGCAGAGACGATTGCTCTTTCTTTCCCACCAGCCCTGCCCAGCCCACCAGCCTGGAAACAGCCCCCTCCCACGAAGGCTGAGAAAGGATTGACCTGGGCTGATGGGCCTCCAGGACCACCCATCTCCCCATTGTACACGTGACAGTCCTGATGCACCAAGACTTGCCTGACGTCACATGCTGGTTAGGGGCAGAGCTGGGCCTGGAACTCTTCTGCCCTTCTGTCCTGAAGAAGGGTGTTCCAGCCTCCCTGCTCCCCCAGCCCTTAGCAGAGTCAGCCCTGCCCCTGTCTCTACCTGGAGGGGCAGTGTTGGCACCTGCCCTGGTGGCCCTGGCCAAGGGCACTCAGAGATGACGCAGGCCTGGGGCCTGGAGGCTGGTATTCTGGTTCCGGCCTGGCTCTGGGGCCCTGGGCTGCCACAGCCGGCTCGGAATGTGGGCCATGACAAGGCAGCAGCCCAGGCCCCTCCCCTCACTGCCCTACTTCCCAGGCCCAGGCGTTGGGAGAAGTAGGGGGCAAAGGACATGGGCGGCAGGGCCCGTATGACAGAGAGCCTCAGTGATCAAAGACTCAGAACCACAGAACGCTGAAAACAGATCATCTCAGAATTTTGGAAAGTCCGAGCATCTCGGAATCTTAGGCACCAAGAAACAGAATCTTTGAGAACCCTGAAATCCGAACTCATAATAACCACCATTTATCAAACTCTGAGAAGGCGCCAGGCCGTGTGCTAAGCATTTAACACAGGTTATTTTTGGTAACTCTCACCACCTCCGCCCCATTTTACAGATAAGGAAGTTAAGGCCCAGAGAGACTGACTCACCCAGGGTCAGAGGAACATAACCCAGGGCTCGGGTTCCTTGGCCCAGAGCACATTCTATGACACTGGGGAGGAAGTGGGGAGGAGACAGGCACCGAGCTGGTGTGGTCCCTTGCTGGCCAGCGGAGGGGCTGGCTGAATGAGTGTGGGCTTAGGAGACCCAGTTCATGGACCTCCGCATTTTCAGTCTGTCTCCCCTGGTAAGACCTGAGTGCCATTAAGAAGGGACTTGGCCTCAACTGTGTCTGCTGCGGCCAGGACAGTGCCTTTAGATTTCTGTGGCTTTGTTGAAGGAATGAACACCCAGACTTCCCACCCTCAGCCCTCAGTCAAGGCACTTTGGGGGCACCACTTGCCTGCAGGAACTCCGAAATCTCAAACTAGCTGTGGTAAGGGGCCAGTTTCCATTTCCAGTCCGTCATGGACCAGTACTTTTGTAAGATAGATGAAAACTAGAAAAGTGAAAGGAAAAAAACATACAGAGTACAAGCCCACAGTTTGTAATACCAGGTTAATTAGACATAAAATTACATTTCAATGAATGTCATCAGAACAGAAAAAAAATGACAAAACCATTCGTTGAAAGTGAGCAAACTGACGATACATACAGGGAGTTGCTACTGTGCTCGTAACTTTTTGGCATTCCACAATCTTAACTAAACAGAAAGTTATTCCAGAAGCGGTGATTCTCCATATCGTAAGACCGTATCAGGAGCCAGCACGGCAGAGCCCACAGGCCCGCTGCAGCCCCCGAGTTAAGAAGAGTTTTTATATTTTAGTAGTGGTTGGAAAAAAGTCAAAGAATAATAAGATAATAAACTTCGGGACACATTAAAAGCTTATAAAAGTCAAATTTTAGTGTCAACAAGTCACGTTTGGTTAACTGATTATTCATTAAATTTCCAACAGAGCCACCCCCACTCATTTGTATGTTGATTTTGGTTGCTTGGCGATAGAAACGACAACAGCAGAGTTGAGCACTTGCAACAGAAACCACATGGTCCTCAAAACCTAAAATCTTTGCTGTGGGCCCTCTCCAGAAAAGCTTACCAACCCTCAGTCTGTATGAACACTGGCAGAACACTGTGAGTCATAATGTTTAAAGTTTTTGGGTTTTTTTAAGATTGACACCTGAGCTAACAACTGTTACCAATCTCCTTTTTTTGTTCCTGCTTTTTCTCCCCAAAGCCCCCCAGTACATAAGTTGTATATTGTAGCTGTGGGTCCTTCTAGTTGTGGCATTTGGGATGCCGCCTCAGCATGGCATGACGAGCGGTGCCATGTCCACGCCCAGGATTCGAACCGGTGAAACCCTGGGCCGCCAAAGCAAAACGCGAGAAGTTAACCACTCAGCCATGGGGCCAGCCCCAACACAATGTTTAAAGTTTTAATGTGACCAACACGTTTGCTTTTTGGTGGTTAATTTATGTAATCCAAGTTGGATTGACAGCCACACTATCCTCAGAGAATAATGAATATCTAAACTCTAAATACAATTTCCTTTTAGTTGGAAAACATTAATAGTCGTATCCAGACTAGGAACATTGGATTTCCTTAGTGAATTGTAACTCAATTTGTCCCTAATGCTTTTTGCCAAATAGCCCATCTTTGTCTGATGTGCCTGTGGTTATACTAGCTTTCTGCTAGTTAGTTTTCTCTTAGTGAATCTTTTTTCCAAGCCATCGCTTTCAGCTTTTCAGTCATAGTTATGTTTTGAGTGTGTCTCTTAGATCCTGCACTCAGCCGTGGGGAAGAGCCTGATAGCTGCCCTTTGGTACCGCTCTCTGCCCTTACGGTAGAAGAACCTCTGGTAACTAGCTGGGCACATGGCCACCCAAAATAAAGACCGCATTTCCCAGCATCCTTTGCAGCTAGGTGTACCAGGTAAGGAGCCTTTCTTCTCTATTCCTGCCCCTGTCCTGCCACCTGGAAAACAAACTAACATGCACACACCCTAGGAATGGCAGAGCAGCCAGCAGAAGGAGCCTGGGGCCCTCAAGACCTCACAGCTGGATTTCACCTGAGACTTCTGTGGGGGACATAAACTTCGCTCTAGTTTAAAGCATTGTTATTTTGGGTCCCTGTCACTCCCGGGGAGCCCAGTCTAATATTGATACTTTCTTCTTGGACTGAGACTCTCTGACTTTTAACTGAAAAACTTAATCTGCTTATATTTATTGTAATTTTTGACTTTTTTAAGCATTATTTCTACCTTCTGTTTTAATGTTTTCTATGTTCTTTTTCTTTGCTTTCTTTTCCCTCTTTCCCAGCCTTCTATTGGTTTAATCAGTAATTCTTCACTTCCTCTTTTTCATCCTCTGTTGATTTGACTGTTGAATGGAACATTCTACCTCTGTTTCTGTTATGTTAATGGTTACCCTGAAATCGTCAACAAAGTCTAAAGTTAATCAATAAATCTATTCTTCTCTAGGAAAAAAAAGAAAACCATGTCAGCATGTCTAAGGCACCCCCTCCCATTTTCCTTTTTTTTTTGTCTATTATTTTAGTCCCTCCTTGTTTTTAAATTCCCCCAAATTAATATTTTTACAGTTAACACTTCTTTAGATCTACCAATATATTTACTGATTTTTTTCCCTGACTGTTATTTCGTATGTATTCTGCCTTCATTCTGGATTGAATTTCCTTCTTCCTGAAGCCCTCCCTTCAACAAGAGTATGTGGGTGGAAAACCCTTTCAGCCTTTGTTTGTCGGAAAAGTTTATGGGGCCACCCGGTGGCACAGCAGTTAAGTGTGCATGTTCTGCTTCCGCAGCTCGGGGTTCACTGGTTCGAATCCCAGGTGCGGACATGGCACCGCTTGGCAAGCCATGCTGTGGTAGGCATCCCACATATAAAGTAGAGGAAGATGGGCATGGATGTTAGCTCAGGGCCAGTCTTCCTCAGAAGAAAAGAGGATTGGCAGCAGTTAGCTCAGGCCTAATCTGCCTCAAAAAAAAAAAAAAAAACAAGGGCCAGCCCTGTGGCCAAGTGGTTAAGTTCACGCGCTCTGCTGCGGTGGCCCAGGGTTTCGCCAGTTCGGATCCTGGGCGCGGACATGGCACCACTCATCAGGCCATGCTGAGGCGGCGTCCCACATGCCACAACTAGAAGGACCTGCAACTAAGATATACAACTATGTACTCGGGGGATTTGGGGAGATAAAGCAGGGGAAAAAAAAGAAAAAAGTTTACATTTCACCTTCATTCTTGAATAACAATTGAGCTAGGTATAGGCTTCTTGGCTGGCAATCATTTTTCCTCTGCACAGTGAACAATTTATTCCATTATCTTCTGGCAGCTGTTGTGGCGGTGAAAAGTCTTTGGAGAGTCTGATTCCTGTTCCTCGGTAAGTAATCTGAGTTTTCTCTCCAGTTCTTTATGAGATTTTCCTTTTGTATTCTGCGGTTTCACTGGGAAGCATCTAGATAATATATGTATTTTTGTTTATCCTTCCCTGGCTCCAGGGTGCTCCTGGGCATCTGTCTTTGTGGAAGTCTTTATGGAAGATTTTCAGCCATCATCTCTTTGAATATTGCCTCATGCCCATTCTCTGTACTTTCTCCTTCTGAGACTCCTAATGACAAATGTTAACCATCCTTTAATATTTTCCATCTTTTTATCCCTCAGGGCTAGCTTATGAGTGATTTCTCAGAGAAGCCTTCCAGTTCATTAAGCTCTTAAATTATGTTCATCTGCTTTTTAACTTATCCACTGATTTTTTAAATTCCAATGGCTATATCCTTAATTTCTAGAAGGTCCATTGGGCTACTTTTTTTTTTTTTAAGATTTTATTTTTTTCCTTTTTCTCCCCAAAGCCCCCCGGTACAAAGTTGTATATTCTTAGTTGTGGGTCCCTCTAGTTGTGGCATGTGGGACGCCACCTCAACGTGGCTTGATGAGCTGTACCATGTCCGCACCCAGGATTCGAACCGACGAAACACTGGGCCGCCTGCAGCGGAACGCGCGAACTTAAGCACTCGGCCACGGGGCCAGCCCCTGGGCTACTGTTTTTCAAATCTTCCTTTTCTCTTCTCATATTATCCTGTAACCGCATCTTGATCTCTCTTCCTTCTTTTATCTTTATTTTTTTCCCTTGACTTTGTGGTCTCTTCTGGACTGTTCTATCATTGACACACTTGGGTGCTGAGTCTGTTTGTCACATCTGCCTCGTCTCATTTGTAATTTCATCTTCAGAAGTGACAGGGTGGTTGTTTTTTTCATTTTGAGCCTCCTGGGCCCTGGGTGGAGAGAGTGCCCTTCTCAGCGGTTTTTCCTATTTCTTCAGCTTTTCGGACCGTAGTGACAGACCGCGCTCCTGCTCGAGGTGCAGCCCCGAGTTTCACGTTCTCCAGGGAAGCTTTTCCTGCTCGAGGCCTTGAACCCCTGTACCCTTGCCACTTCCTCAGCCTGCTAGGTCGAGGCATAGTTTGGTCCCTTCTCAAGAACAGGGTCGCCCTCTGAGACCCTGGAATGGACTCAGGGTCACGTCTTGCTCCCCAGCCTCTTGCAGGTCCCTCGTCACCCCTGAGTGTCACAGCCCAGGCTCCCGAACCTCTCTCCAAGTCTGAAGCCCCCATGGTGTCTTTCCCTCCCACCTCCTAGCTTTACTACCTGGGGTCATCCCTTTCTTTCTTTGAAGTTCACCCTGTTTGTTTTTTTTTTTTAAACACTTCTACAAATAAGTAGTGGGAAGCATCCAGCCGCCCCCTCTATTCACCATGTTACCAGAATTCCCTCCCAGCACTGCCACGTCTTTGAATGCTGCCAGTGCCAGGGAGCTCCCTACCTCCCAAGGGGCTGGAGAGATCCAAATCTTGCTCACACCGGGGAATGATGGGCACTTGAGGGCAGGTTTCCTCCAGGCAGCTCCCGTGGGAGGGACACGAGGATGAGGGTGAGTCGGTGACATCACAAGCCAACTTTGCAGCCAGGTGTCGTCAGGGGCAGAAGAAGCCTGGGGGCTGCTGGGTCTCTTCCATCTCGGGCCTCGTGGGGAGGGTGTGCAGCATGAACCCTGCTGGCTTCTGGGGCCAGAGGGGTGACGCAGTCTCCTCTCCCGGAGCCTCAGTGGGTGGAAAGCATCATCACAAACTCTGTAGGAGAGAAGGGGTGGGGCTCGGGCTGGTCCAGCTCAGGGATCCCAGGAGGCGCTGGGCTCAGCCTGGGAGCTGGAGGGGTAGGGGTTGTCCGGAAGGGAGACTCACCGTCAAAGTCTACAGTGCCGTCCCCATTGAGGTCCACATCTCGGAGCATCTCGTCCAGCTCAGGACCCAGCAGCGCCTCCCCCAGCAGAGCCGGTGCCGCCTGTCGCAGCTCCGCCATAGTGATTCGTCCATCCCTGTCCTTGTCAAACTAGGATCCCAGCAGGGCTCAGCCCCTCCCACCCAAAGCTGCCTCTGCCTGCACCCGTCTCCACCTTGCCACGTCCTGTGCCTGGATGCCCCCATTTTCACCCATCCAAGCTCCCTCCTCCTCCCAGGCTGAGACAGGGGGCCCTCTCTCTAAGAAGTCTCCCTTGGGGGATCCCCTAGCTGGAGGTGAGCCAAACCCTTTCTGACCCCTCCCTGATCCCAGTGCCACCACCTGCAGGGCTCTGGGCCTCCAGAGGCTGAGGCCACCAGCTTCCCCTGGCCTGGGGGGGAGGCTAGCAAGGATGCCATCCAGCCACCCACCACCCGCCTCGACCACGCTCCACACCTCTCGGAAGGCGATGCGCAGCTCCCGCACCCCCAACATGTGTGCCGTCTCCTCCCTCAGCTTTGGGCCCATCATTTCCACAAACTCCTCGAAGTCCACACGGCCACCCACTGCGGACCCAGGCAGAGCGTCACAATGGTGAGGGCTGGGGCCCAAGGAGGGACGTCACGAGGGCCAGCCCCTCCCCAGCTCTGCTTCCAGGAAGGAACACGGGTGTCCATGCCCTGCGGGGTGTAGGCAGCTGGAGCCCTGCTTTCTGCTGGGGGGTGAAGAGCTTGGGTGCACTCAGTGAAGTACGCAAGTGTGGGGGAAAGAGACCAGGCTCTGGAACCAGACAGCCCCGGCTTCAAACCCTGGCTCTGCCGCCGATTGTGTGTGGCCTTGGGTGACTTATGAAACCTCCGTCCTCATCCTGGGACGGGGATGGCAGAAGCTACTCTGTGGGCTGCTGTTGGGGTTGGAGCTCATGGCTGTAAAGTGCTGGAACCCCGTAGGCGGCAATAAATGCCCCTTAAGCAGACCCATGTGGTCCCTTGGTTCTAAGACGGCATCCATTAAAAAAAGCTCTGATGGTCAATTAACAGCTTTGGGGGAAAGAAAAGAAGGATGACACTAAATGTTCACATCGGTTGTAAATCACATCCCATTTGGGAAACTGTAAAGTAAAAAATAATGCAGGTGTTCTGGAAGGAAGGGAATCTGATATGGGTCTGAGGACAAATGAGCTAATGATAATCACACAAGTGCCGCCCATCCGACATTTAATCGCAAGGACCGGCCAGAGTTCTGTCACACTAGGCCTCAGAGAACCTCAGAAGGCTCTTCTCAGGAGCCTGGCGGGGGGGGGGGTGGTGGGGGGGGGTCTGAGAGAAAGAGAGAGAGAGGGGTGGCTAGTACCAGCAGGGAACTGTTTTTTTTAAAGCTTGGCCCTGAGCTAACATCTGTTGCCAATCTTCCTTTTTTTTTCCTCTCCCCAAAGCCCCCCGGCGTATAGTTGTATATTCTAGTTGCAGATCCTTCTGGTTGTGGCACATGGGACGCCTCCTCAGCATGGCCTGATGAGCAGTGCCCTGTCTACACACAGGATCTGAACCGGTTAAACCTTGGGCCACCGAAGCGGAGCACGTGAACTCAACCACTGGGCCACGGGGCGATCCCAGAGCAGGGTCGGGGGGGGGGGGGGGGGGGGGGGGGGGGGGGGGGGGGTGATATGCCCCGAGGGCCTCTCTTGGATCACCAGGTGACTTCCTCCATCCCTGGTGTCCCTGCATCCGACAGGGCCAACATCCAACTGTCAAACTGCCCTGGAATCTGCCCCTCGCCCACTTCCGCCATCACCCCTGGGACACTCCCAGAGCCACCTCCCACCACCGCCTCGTGATCCCCCTGAACCATGAGGCTTGGAGAGAACCAGGGCTACCCAGCCTCCAGGAAAAGCCAGGCAGCTCGGGCCCTACCCCACCCTGGCCAGTGGGTTCAGGCACTGACTTCGCATCTTGACATGCTGCGAGACCTCGATGAGCTCCATCTCAGTGGGCATGTAGCCCAGTGTCCGCATGCAGGCGCCCAGCTCCCGGTAGCCGATGTAGCCATCGCGGTCGGTGTCAAACTCCTCAAAGGCAGCTTGAAGTTCTGCCGGGGAGGAGGGTCAGGCCCAGGGAGCCAGGCTCAGGGACACCTCCCACCCCGCCACCAGCAAAGGCCACTCACCATCCAGCTCCTCGGGGCCCAGCTCGCGGTCCTGTAGGGGTATAGTCCAGCATGTCCCCCAAGCCAGCCAGGGCTTGGGCCAGCCCAAGACCCATCTTTCCCCAAACTGCTGAAACCCAGCCCCCACAGCCCAGGATCCCTGAGTCTGAAGCAGAAGCGACAGGGGCCCTCAGTACTAGGGGCAGGGTGGGCTGAGCCTGAGGACATGAGTCCCCACCCCGACCCTCAGACTCCCAACCCTGCCCAGGCCCCACCTGACCTTCCCGAAGACACGGTTGAGCAGGGGCCCGTATGTCCTCTGAGCAGCATCATGCTGGGGGTCAGAACGATGCCGGTGGGACTGGCGACGAGAGGCTGACCCAGGGGCTGCAGGGGTTGGCCCCTCCTGCCCTTCTCCGGTCCTAGAGGGATTCTTGCTGCTCCCAGGGGCCTCAGGGCCCTGGATGGGGGTCTGCTCCCCAGAGCTGCCCTTCCGGGACCCTCGAAGCCCCCTCTTGCTCTTCCTCCTGGTCAAAGGGTGCCCCTCAGCCCCATTCGTGGGAGCCATGGCCCCCTCAAGGGGCTTCTGAGGGCCGGGGGCCAGGTCTGGGCCATGCTGCCCCTTTGCCTGCTCTGTGGCCATGTGGAGATGGGCGACAGGGCTCAGAGATGCAGCACCACGGAGCACCCTTGGCTCTTGGAACCCATAAAGCTGCTTATGCACCCGCACCCTGGGAGCTGCTGGCCTGGGATCGGGCCCTGAGGGGGATTAGGGTAAGTGAGGCAGGCAGCCCAGGCCCTAATCCTGGCCCTCAGCTCAGGGCTGGCCAGGACAGAGCCAGATGGGTCAAGAGAACTGTCCTCAGCAACAAGGGGTGCCAAGACATGGTAGCTGCACGAGCTTAGACTCCAGCTTTGCCACCTCGGAGCTGGGAGACCCAGCAAATTCACCTCTCTGAGCCTCCGTGCCTCATCTGTAGAATGGGAGCAATATTGCCGAAGAGTCGAGACTTCAGCCGGGTTGTGTGACACGGGCAGGACTTAGCTGAGAGAGGACACGGGAAGGCATCGCAGGCAGGAGGGAGAGGGTAGGCAAAGGCTGGAAGGTGGGAGAGCATAGGACAAGCTGCCCACTGCAGTCCCCTCATGGGTGACATCCTGGCTGGAGCAGAGGGTATATGAAATTGAGGAAGAGAGGCCAGATCACCGAGGCCTTGAATGCCGGATTGAGGGTCATGGAGGTGATGTCAGAGGAGGTGGACCCCAGGGGGGACACAGGGCCTGCCCTGAGCTGGAGAGGCCCAGGGTGAGGGGGCTTCAGCCATCTGACCTTGCCCAGGGTTGGGGGAACTGGCCGGTCAGTTGGTCCTACTGGGCCAGGGTTAGGGTTTCCCGGCGAGCAGCCCCATGAATGATTGATGCCCTTTGAGCTTGGGTTTCATGCCGGCCGCCTTAGCGCCGCCGGGCACCATGCAGCAGGCCCTGGTGTGGGGCCATGCGGACGACTGGACCACTGGGCACACAGGCACGCCCAGCTCCTCCCCGCCAGCAGCCTGCGCCTCACAGGTAAGCCAGGCCTCACCGGTGGGGGTCGGGGGAGCCCAGGGCTCTGATGCAGTAGCAGCTGAAGCTTGCAGAGTGGCGTCTGCCTGAGGAAGGGCCCTGGGGGTGGAGAGGCCATGGGGCTAAAGGCCACAGGCAGGATCCAGTCTTTCTGGGGCATCTGCTTCTTCCCCGACTCTGTGCGGCCACCAGGGCCTTGTCCATCCTCAGAGGGAGACTCCCTAGGCTAGCGAGCGAGGGGCGTGGGGGCAGCAGGCCTTGGGTGCCGGCCACCCTCCCCCTCATCAAGCTGTTGCGCCCCCCTCCTGTTTAATTGCTCCAGGAAACAAACGGGGGCCACCTTCTGCCTGAGCTGGGAGAAGAGAGAGAGGGTCCCAGGTGGGGCAGAGGGTGATAAAGAGGCTCAAGCTGCTCCCAGGACAGCCCTCCTGGCTGCGGGCTGCCCCGCCTGAGCCTCAGGCCTCCCAGAGCTCACTGAGTTGCTCTCGCTGGGAGGAGGGGCCTCCTCTGCCCCAGGCTCCCTTCCGATCTCGGATTCCTCCGGGCCGGTGGGACCCTGAGCCCTCCCCGCGTGGACTCTTAAACACTCGAACCCCAGGATACCAGACAAAAAGGAGCCTGTGGTGATCTGACCAAATGGTTTTCAAACTGTGCTCCCTGGAGCTCTAGGAGCGCCCTCCCCTCCTTTAATCTGAGCACCCCCTTTGAGTTCATATAGGAATTCCACTGTAGTATTTCATTTAAAGAAAATATTCACCAGCTTAAAAAATATGTTTGAAAGCCTCTGGCCAGTGGCGCTGCAAAGTTAGCACGTTCTGCTTCTCAGCAGCCCGGGGTGCGCTGGTTGGAATCCCGGATGTGGACATGGCACCACTTGGCAAAAGCCATGCTGTGGTGGGCGTCCCACATATAAAGTAGACGAAGATGGGCACGGATGTCAGCTCAGGGCCAGTCTTCCTCAGCAAAAAGAAGAGGATTGGCAGTCGTTAGCTCAGGGCTAATCTTCCTCAAAAAAAAAAAAAAAAGAAAGAAAGAAAGCCTCTGGTCTAGTCCACTAGACACACACAGGGATTCCGTGGGGCAGAATGGTTAGGTCTGCGTTGGGGTCCTGGGGCCGCCCATCCTACCTCTGACCTTGGGCAAGTACCCTGGTCCTCTGAACCTTCCGCTCCTCAGCTGTAAAAGGGGTTGTATGAGGCCTAGGTGGGGTCGTCTATTTAAAGTCCCTAGCATAGAATATCTACCCAAAAAGTGATGACAATGGCCCAGAAAGGGATCACGACTCGCCTGGAGATGCACAAGACCCTCTCTCTCACGCTCAATCATTCATGCCTTCATTGCTTCACCAGGCGCCCTCTCTGTGTCCAGAGGTACACTAGGGACCTCAGATGGACGCTGCTATAGAAGCCAACCTGGGTGCTGCTGGCCTCAGGCCCCGCACGGAGCTGGACGACGAGGACTACTACCCCCAGGGCGGCTGGGACACAGTCTTCCTGGTGGCCCTGCTGCTCCTGGGGCTGCCAGCCAATGGGCTCATGGCGTGGCTGGCCGGCTCACAGGCCCGGCAAGGAGCAGGCACACGCCTCGCTCTGCTCCTGCTCAGCCTGGCCCTCTCTGACTTTTTGTTCCTGGCAGCAGCAGCTTTCCAGATCCTGGAGATCCAGCACGGAGGGCACTGGCCACTGGGGACAGCTGCCTGCCGCTTCTACTACTTTCTATGGGGTGTGTCCCACTCCTCTGGCCTCTTCCTGCTGGCAACCCTCAGCCTGGACCGCTGCCTGCTGGCGCTGTGTCCACGCTGGTACCCTGCGCATCGCCCGGCCCGCCTGCCCCTCTGGGTCTGCGCCGGGGTCTGGGTGCTGGCCACACTCTTCAGTGTGCCCTGGCTGGTCTTCCCCGAGGCCGCCGTCTGGTGGTACGACCTGGTCATCTGCCTGGACTTCTGGGATAGTGAGGAGCTGCCGCTGCGGATGTTCGAGATCCTGGGGGGCTTCCTGCCTTTCTTCCTGCTGCTCGTCTGCCACGTGCTCACCCAGGCAGCTACCTGCAGGACCTGCTGCCACCATCAGCCTAGGCCCACAGCCTGCCGTGGCTTTGCCCGTGTGGCCAAGACCATATTGTCAGCCTATGTGGTCCTGCGGCTGCCCTACCAGCTGGCGCAGCTGCTGTACCTGGCCTTCCTGTGGGACATCTACCCCGGCTACCTGCTCTGGGAGGCCCTGGTCTACTCCGACTACTTAATCCTGCTCAACAGCTGCCTCAGTCCCTTCCTCTGCCTCCTGGCCAGTGCCGACCTCCGGGCCCTGCTGCACTCAATGCTCTCCTCCTTCGCAGCAGCTCTCTGCGAGGAACGGCCAGGCAGCTTCATGCCAGCCGAGCCACAGGCCCAAGTGGACCCTGGGGGTCAGACTCTGCCAGGGCCAACAGCTGAGGCCCAGCCACAGATGAACCCTACAGCCCAGCCACAGGTGAATCCCATGGCCCAGCCACAGGCGAATCCCACAGCCCAGCCACAGGCGAATCCCATGGCCCAGCCACAGCAGAATCCCACAGCCCAGCCACAGGTGAACCCTATGGCCCAGCCACAGTTGGATTCTGTGGTCCAGCCACAGGCAGATCCCACAGCCCAGCTGCAGTCAGAGTCTGTGGTCCAGTCTCAGCTGGACTCCATGGCTCAGCCACAGGCAAGCCCTGAGGCCCGGACCCCCGGAACTGCTGCCAGCTCAGTTTCCAGCCCCTGTGATGAAGCCTCCTCTGTCCCATCCACAGATGCCCCACCAGAGGCCCCTGAGGACCTGACCACGCCCGCTGCCTCCACAGGAGAAAGTCCTGGTAGTGACCCCCAAGAGGACGACCCCAGTGCAGGCCCCACGTGAGCGTCTAGGAGAGCCCGGGCCCACCAGGGCAGAGGAAGAGCCAGAGGGAGACGGAGGAAGCAGCAGTCAGGGAGGAGGGGAGCCGTGGAGGAAATCACTGTGGAAAACCCCACCAAGGCCCCGAGGCCTGGCAGGAGGACTCAGGGGAAGTGAAAATGAAGCGGCCAAAAGTCCCAGATGGTTTGTTGTGAGCGTCACGTCCCTGCCCAGGTCCGACCAAGCTCTTCCATGCTTGCCCCCACCACAGTGGCTCAACAGCCCCCTGAGTTGTCACAGCTGATGGTGTCCTGCTGGGCCCTGCCCCCAACACCCCCAGACCCCACCAATGATTTCCTCCTTTGCCTCCATCCTGCAGGAGAAGACTGCAGGGGGGATGTCTCCAGGCTTGATCTGATCTCCCTTTGATCCTTCCCTCTCTCCCCTCCCCCGCCCCATCCTCTAACCTGGGCACGAGGAGGAGGACAAAGGAGGAAGACCCGGCAGAGAAGGGAGGCATTCAGGAGCCGGCAGGAGCCCCGGGGCCCTAGGAGCCCACAAGCTGGGCAGGCATGGCCAAGTCCTCTCCACCAGCTGCCCGCCTCCAGCAGGCTGCGAGGCCGGGCAGGACTTGTCCCAGCAAGCTGCGGGAGCACAGGCGAGAGCTACGAAGCCTGGATTCAAATCCGGCTCCAGGGGACTCTGGACAAGCGGCTTCACCCTCTAAGCTCCTGTTCCATCCGCCATCGTGAGGATTCAAGGAGAAAGTGTGTGAGGTGCCCAGCCAGAGCCTGGCACACAGTCGGGGCTCAGGGAACAGATGCTCTTCCCTCACTGGCACCCAGGGATGCCCCTCTAGGGGCTGGGGATGGATAGGAGGAGGCACCTATCGCAGCATCTGGGAGCCTGTGAGCTTCGGGGCAGATCAGCGGTGCCCATGACCAGTTCCGGCCTGTAGACATCCAGGTGGCCCAAGATCATGGGGCCACCTCTGTGCCTTGGGCAGCTTCAGGGGACTCTAGGTTCTGCTCCATTTAAGGGTTCAACTAGTGTTCACCTGCCCCCCACTGCCCACCATGTTGGGGCCCAGATAGAGTGTGCTGGTCCGCCCTCCGTCTGAGCTCCTTCTATGCGCTCAGCCCAGGGGCAGGGATGGGAATGTGTCCAAGCAGAGAGCTCTGGAGACCAGTGGCACCAGAAAAGGCACAGGCCCCCAGGAGGTCACCCAGCGTCTCTTCCCTCTCAAGCTGCAGACGCTGCAAGAAATACTAGGAAGTGCTGAAGGTCTATTTTCCAATCCCCACCCCACTTCCCTTTTATACCCATCACTCTCTTGGGACACCCATCCCACCCAGCTTTCTCTCAGCCCCCAGCGTTCCCAAATCATGAAGCTTTTCCCCTTGTCACCCCCTCCCCCATCCTTTCCCATTAGCTCAGCCTATGACCTTTAGCAGCTGAGAGACGCCCTTACCAGGAGGTGTAAATGGCGATGACATTTTCTGCGTCAGCCTTCCCTGGAGTGCTTGCATTTTAAAAGGGCAGCAGGCTGTGCAGGCAGATCTGGGTTCTGGTTTCTCACTCTCTCTTCACCTCGGTTTTCTCCTCTGTAAAATGGGGTGATAACATCCCCCTGCAAGGTTGGCTGCTGTTCTCATTAACTGAGCCCGGGGACGGAGCCCTGCTGGGGGAGGGTGGTGAGACCAGCATGTCCGGGTGATGGAATTGTGGGCACTGAGGCCGGTTGGAGAGAGAAATCTGGACAGGCACAAATTTGTTGAGTTCATTCATTCAGCAAATATTTATCGAGCACGTGCTGGCACCTTTCCAGCCAGCCTTCCATTTTGGAGACACACGGGTGGGGTTAAGGGCATGGCCTCTGGTGCCCCTAAGGGTTCCTCTGAATCCTGGCTCCACCCCTCACCAGCTGTGTGACCTTCAACAAGGCTCTTGGCCTCTTTGGGCCTCAGTTTCCTCATCTGTAAAATGGGAATCATAACATGGCTCCCATTTCCTAGGAGCGTTAATCCCTGTGAAGTGCTTCGATCCTTGCCTGGCACAGAGCAAGTGCTTAATAATTGATAGCCATTAGTTTGATTATACCAGTGGGCACCCAGGCCTCAGTCAGGCCTGGGACCAGCACTGACCCACGGGCCACAGCCCCCCGTGACAGCATCCTGTCCACCAGGCATTCTTCCCTCCGCCACACTGCCTCCTGCTCCACAGAAACGCTTTCACACTCCCTGTTGGAGAGCACATTCCCTGAGGGCAGGGTCTGGACTGATGCCCCCTTGGGGAGCTCAGGACTGTCCCTCTCCCTTCTCCCAGGTAGGGGTCCCAAAGCTTCGTCAACAGGGCAAGCAGATCCTGGACTGAGACCTGAGTGCCAGGCACCTGCCTTCAACTCTGGTCTACACTCCCAACCCCGCCTCTTGGAAAATGGGCCAGCCCCACCTCCAAGGTGCCCGAGGGGAGTCCCACCCATATTAGGTAATCTCTATCCAGGAGAAAGAGCGGCACCAGGAAGGGTTTTGTGGGATCAGGAGGAGTCCTCCTGGTGGCCCGCAGAGGAGGGTTTCGTGTTGGAGGAAACATGCACACCCAAGGCCAGAGGGGATGAGGGAAGGGCTCATCCCCGCACTCCACAGCCCCTCCACCTCACCCCAAACCCCCCGCCCCCATGGGGCTGGGCTCCTGTTGCCCTCCGGGGGACCGACCCTTCTCCAGGTGAGAGACACCCCTCCCTCTCCCTCGCAGGGACCAGACGTGGATTCTGAGAGTTGTGAATATGAACATTTTTCAAGTCTCCATTCAGGGCTGCTGTTTGTTCTTTCATTCATCCAATATCCATGAGCTGAACACACGCCGTGTGCGAGGTCTCCTTCCAGGTGGCATGGACACAGCGCGAACGAGAGCAAGTGCTGCCCTCAACTTGCTGACAGCCTAGTGGGCCAGGCCAACCAGGAGCAAATAACTATATCACATAACATCAGGTCGTGACTAAGAACCGTACAGAGGGACCAGGGAAGGCCAGAGAGTGACGGGTGACGGGGGTGGCCAGGGAAGGCCCTCGGAGGAGGTGACATCTGAGCAGAGACCTGGGGGGAGTGGGGGAATGGAGCCTTTTCAAGACCTGGGGGAAGAGTTTCCAGATGGAGGGAACAGGATGTGCCAAGGCCCTGGGGTGGGAAGGAAGGCGGTGGTATGTTTCAGTGACAGGAGGGTCAGTGTCATTGGGCCACACGCAGGGAGAGGACGGTGGTAGTTCACGAGGGGTGGGGGGTGCACAGTGACTATGGACATTATTTCAGATGTTGAGAGGAGGAGCAAGGGGACGGCTTAGGGTAGGGGATCTGGTTTGAGCTCCGGACAGATCCCCGCTGTTTTCAGGGGACACAAGGGAGAGGCAGGCTTCATGGCTGCATTCCCTCTGCCCAGCACCCCCATTCCTGTCCTAGGCTGGAAAGATCAGCCTGCCCCAGGGTTACGGAGCAGTGGGAAAAGCAAGGATTTTGCAGCCAAACAGATGGGGATTGAACCCTTTCGGGGTGACCTGGGGCAGGCACCTCTCCTCTCTGAGCTGTTCCCTCAGCACGGTGTGGCAAGGGGAATGAGACCGCTACAAGCCCCAGCTAATGGGGACACACAGTGGGACCTCGTGCAGTCTGAGACAAGGATCCTTTTGACTTCTGCTTTCCCCCGCTTCCCCCACCACTCCTCTCTTTCTGCCAAAGGGACCCTACCCATCACTCCCAGGTCCCCCAGGGCAGCAGATGCTCAAGAAAGGGATGAGGGAGGTGACCAGTGCCCCAGGGACACCAGCCCCCGGTGGAGGGGACAGATTGTGCCTGTGGGACCTACAGGGACACCGAAGCCTCCAGGGTGGGACAGGGATGGGGCGGATGTGGGGAGGCCAGTCTGGGTTCCTGCCACAGGAGCGGGCTAGAAGGAGGGAGAGGTCTGTGGTCCGACCTCCGGGCCTCCGTGGGAGATAGGCGAGAAAAGAAAGGAAGGTGTCAGGGATCTGGGGGGCACGGCCCCATTTCTGTTTCTAATAAGAGCGAGGCCCGGGAGGACCCAGGGGTGTTCGTGGGGAGGAATGGAATGGTTGGGGCTTTCCACCCGCCTCTTAAAACACCCGTTTTATTTACACTGTTAACCCACAGCACGTACTTTTGTAAGTCAAAAAGAGGCACGTGCATATCTCGGCTGTCTGAGTAGATATATTTTGGAGTCAGGAGTGGACTGGGGGATCCTCGAGGTATGCATGGGGCGGGGAAGTGGGGGGGCGGGGCTCCCCCCAATCCCGGGGACTCCTGAGGACGCCTCCTTGAGGGGCAGCATGGGGAAGGGGCCGGGTTTGAGGCCGGGGTGCAGCCCTTGCAGCCCCCTCCCCACCTCGTCCCTGCCCCTTTGCCCTGGAGGCCCCGCGCTCCCGGCCTCCAGGCTCCGCCCGCAGCCTCCCGCCCCTCCCCTCCGCGCGTGACCTCGGCCCCGCCCCCGCGAGCCCCCGCCCCGCCCCCCGCCCCTCGCCCCCGGCTCCTCTGTCACTTCCTGATTCCCGCTTCCTGCTTCCCAGAGGCCGGGATCCGGAGCCGCCCGAGGCCGGTGCCACAGCCCCTGGCGCCCCCGGTGAGCACTGGGGGCCGGGGCTGGGGGCGCGGGCGGCGGGCGGGGCGGGGCTGCAGGGGCGGAGCCGCGGGGGGCTGTGGTTGGGGGGCCTGGGTCCGAGGAGCCCTTCTCGTCCGCGGCGCCCCACCCTCAGTCCCAGCTCCCCTTGGCCGCCCAGCCTGTCCCCTCCTGGCCCGGGGTCCCTGGAAATCGGGCTCCTAGTTCACCTTGGACTCGGCTTCGAGGATACTCTGCGGCTGGGAGTGCTGTCCCGACCCCCGCCCCCTCCTGCCAGGCCTCCTGGGCCAGCCTGGGGCTCCCTGCAGCTCCCCGCACATTCCTGCAGGCGCTGCACATTCCCTGGGACTCAGAACTGGGGCCTAGCACGGCCTGCTCCTCTGGCCGTCCTCCCCATCACCCAGCCTCCGAACCCCCGGCAGGAAGGAGCCTGCTCCGCACTGACCGGGACCCCCAGAGGAGCTAAGCTTGCTCCGACATTGGCACCTCCTACCTCCCCCACACACATACCAGAGCCAGGGAGAGGCCTTGGGTAGTGTCCTGCAAAGCCCCTCAGGACTGAGCAGCGTGGGCTGCGGGGTCAGCACGTTGCCCCCCTCAGATCAGCGCACGGGGGGGAGGCAGCCAGGGTTTGCACCTCTCACCCCTTTCTGTAACCGGGGATACTGAGAGCCAGGCGGGCTCTAACGACCAGGCCCGCACTTGCATCCTCCCCACCTCCCTTCGTGCAGCCCTGGGAGGGTTGGGGGCTTCCATGATGGGCAGGGCTGACCCAGGCTTCTGCGCCCTGCAGACATGTCCTTCCGCAAAGTGGTTCGCCAGAGCAAATTCCGGCATGTGTTCGGGCAGCCGGTCAAGAATGATCAGTGCTATGAGGACATTCGCGTGTCGCGTGTCACCTGGGACAGCACCTTCTGCGCAGTCAACCCTAAGTTCCTGGCGGTGATTGTGGAGGCCAGCGGTGGGGGCGCCTTCCTGGTGCTCCCCCTAAGCAAGGTGGGCCCCCTCAGGGCTGAGGGAAAGTCTGCAGGCAGCTGGGCCACACCTGCCAGGCGTCTGTGTATTTCACGTCCCATATCTTGCCCAGCCCCACAATGCTGGGCAGGTGTCATAATCCAGATTTACTGCCCGAGAGGCGTGAACACAGACGGGGAAAGTCTTTTATTGCCACAGAGTCAGGGTCAAAGGCAACAGATGTTTCCTGCTCACCTGATGATGCCTGTGAGGAAGAGGTGGGTCGGCAAGAGGCAGTGAGAGTCACATCTGGGCCATCTGTGGGCCAGGCACCCTTCTCCCTGCATGGAGGGGAAGCCTCAAGCTCTGCGAGGGTGGACCCTCAGGGTCTTGGGTCCCCCTTGACTACTCCTCTCATGCCCCCAGACGGGCCGCATTGACAAGGCCTACCCGACAGTGTGTGGACACACGGGACCTGTCCTTGACATTGATTGGTGTCCCCACAATGATGAAGTCATTGCCAGCGGCTCGGAGGACTGCACGGTCATGGTGAGGCATATGGCTGTGGTTGGGTCTGGGTGGCAGTTGTCACTCGAGGTTGCCTGCAGCAGGGCCAAGCAGGGGCCTCAGCCCGCATCCCTACCCCTTCCGCAGGTGTGGCAGATCCCGGAGAACGGGCTGGCTGCCCCACTGACAGAGCCGGTGGTGGTGTTAGAGGGCCACACCAAGCGAGTGGGCATCATCACCTGGCACCCGACGGCCCGCAACGTGCTACTCAGCGCAGGTCTGCACTGGTCCCTTGCTCCCCACCCCTGGCCATGCACAGCTCTGGAACGTCCCACACCCTCTCCCGCGCCATCTGACAGATGGGAAAGCTGAGGCCCATAGGGTCTGGTTCCAGGAGGGTGGTCAGAGCTGGCCTGGTGGGCTGACGGCCCCCTGCCCGGCAGGCTGCGACAACGTGGTGCTCATCTGGAACGTGGGCACGGCGGAGGAGCTGTACCGCCTGGACAGCCTGCACCCCGACCTCATCTACAACGTCAGCTGGAACCACAATGGCAGCCTCTTCTGCTCCGCCTGCAAGGACAAGAGTGTGCGCATCATCGACCCCCGCCGGGGCACCCTGGTGGCGGTACGTGGCCCTGGAGGGTAAGGATGGCAGTGGACAGGCCGAGGGGCTCTATTGGGTCACTGTACTGACCACTCTGTCCCCTGCCACAGGAGCGGGAGAAGGCTCATGAAGGGGCCCGGCCCATGCGGGCAATCTTCCTGGCAGATGGCAAGGTGTTCACCACAGGCTTCAGCCGCATGAGCGAGCGGCAGCTGGCACTCTGGGACCCGGTGAGTGGCCATGGCCGGCCTGAGGGGACAGGCTTGAGACTTGGGCTCCACCCTGGATGAAGAGGGCAGGAGTCACCCTGGAGAGGCCTGTGGTTCCCAGGCCCTGGAACCCGCCAGCCTCTCCTCTCCCTGCCCCTGCTCTCTGGCCTCCCTCACTGCCTCCAGTTACCTCTGTGTCTGCCATTCTTCTTGCCAACTGAAAGGCCGTTCTCTCCTTTGCTTGCCTGTTCCCACCAGCTGCAGAATCCCCCTCCTCCAGGAAGCCTGCCAGCGCTTCCCCTGGAGTGCTCTGTCGCACAGCCCTATGCTTCTGTATAGTGACCTCCAGGGGCCCCTCTGAGGCAGGCTGGTGCTGCCTGGCACCCGGGTTCCCACATGGTGGGGACTTCCTCAGCACTTGCTCGGTGGCCTGGGAGTTGGCTAAAGACCTGGAGGAGGCTGGGAAAGTGGAGCCCTGGGAGTTAAGGGGAGCCAGGAGGGCCCGGCGGGGCACACTGTGTGGGCAAAGGCTTACAGGTGGGAGGGAGCCCACCTGGCGTGGTCGGGGCAGCAGCGCTGGCATGTGTGGCTGGTTGGGGCCCAGTGCTGATGGGGGGAGTTGGGACAGTGATGGGAGAGAGGAGGTTCTGGCCTGGCCTGACTGTCCCCAACCCCGTGTGCCAGGAGAACTTCAAGGAGCCCATGGCCTTGCAGGAGCTGGACTCGAGCAACGGAGCCCTGCTGCCCTTCTACGACCCCGACACCAGCGTGGTCTATGTCTGCGGCAAGGTGAGGCTGGGCATGGTGTGGGGGCAGGGAAGAGGGATGCCCGAGTGCTGACCCCTGCCCACTCCTGCCCTGCAGGGCGACTCCAGCATCCGGTACTTTGAGATCACAGACGAGCCTCCCTACATCCACTTCCTGAACACATTCACCAGCAAAGAGCCCCAGAGGGGCATGGGCAGCATGCCCAAGAGGGGCTTGGAGGTCAGCAAGTGTGAGATCGCCCGGTAAGAGGGACCCCCGAGGCAGCCGGCTATAGGGGGATGGGTCAGCCTGGGGGGCGCAGGGGCCAGGCTGTGGGCATCCAGGGTGACATGTCAGATCATAAGAGGCTGCTCAGGAGCAGGAACCAGCCCACAGGGGGCCCAGGGTCAGGGGTCAGTCTGTGGGAGGAGCTGAGGTGAGGCCCGGAAGTGGAGAGTGGAGGGTGACCGGAGAGATGGTGGCAGGAGGTTCCACCCATGGCTCCCTCCCCCTCCTTCTCCCAGGTTCTACAAACTGCATGAACGCAAGTGTGAGCCTATTGTCATGACTGTGCCAAGAAAGGTGAGGCTGGCTGGATCCCCTGCCCACCCACTGCTCCCTTCTTGGGCAGACAGCCCATGCAGGGGGGAACAGGGTAAGGCCTGTGAATGGGCCGTAGCCAAATAAGGGTGTGGTCAGTGGGCTGGACAGGTGCCAGCTTGCCCTTGTACCCACACAGGGGTTGGGCTGTGCCAGGCAGGGGGCAAGCAGGAATGAGATGCAGTGTGAGCTGCCCTGAACCAGCCACAGGAGACAGACACCGGGCAGCCAGGGAGCTCTCCCCATAGGAGGCCGGACCTACAGCATGACTAGGGTGGGGCCCTCCAATGGCAGGTAGAGACCAGGAGAAGGGCGCAGAGGTGGGAATGGAGTCTGGCTGCAGTGGAGGCTCCCATGAGGAGGGATCAGGCCTCAGATGCCCAGCCAAGAGCCTTGGATGCACATTTTTCGCCAGCCAGTACTTACTGAGTGCACATTCAGCATGTCAGGCACGACCGGGGGAGCAGAGCTGTGAACGAGGCTGACAGGGCCTGCCCCAAGAGCTCACGGTCCATGGGGCATAGATGTAGCTCCCAGAATCCCACGAAGCTATATAGCTGGTCCCCGCTTAGGAAGGTTGGGGAAGGCTTCAGACGGAGCTCTTGGCAATATCCAGAAGGGAAGTGAAAGGACAGATTTGAGCTTTCAAAAGGTCACTTGGGGTTAGGCTATTGGAAGACGGGTTGACAGGGTGGAAGCCTGGAGGCCAGCAGAGTGATGAGGAGGTGGCCACCCAGGGTCCAGACGAAAGGACCCTAACAGTGGGTCCCCAGCTGATCCAGACCTCCCCCACCCCTTCCCAGTCGGACCTCTTCCAGGATGACCTGTACCCCGACACAGCCGGGCCCGAGGCGGCCCTGGAGGCGGAGGAGTGGGTGAGCGGGCGGGACGCCGACCCCATCCTCATTTCCCTGCGGGAGGCCTACGTGCCCAGCAAACAGCGGGACCTGAAGGTCAGCCGGCGCAACGTGTTATCCGACAGCCGGCCCGCCGTGGCCCCTGGCTCCGCCCGCCCAGGGGCCTCCACATTTGCTGCCTCTACCACTGCCACGACCCCCAGTGGCAGCCTTACTGGAGCCAGGGTATGTACCCCGCGGTCAGGAGTGGAGTTGGGAAGCGCCAGCTGTTTCCCCAGTCTGCTGTGTGTGCCTAAATCATTCCCTGTCCCTCTCTGGGCCTGGTAGTAGATTTAGGGAGCATTGCAACTCTGTGACCCGTGACCCCTACGATGTCCCTGCAGGAGGCTGGGAAGCTGGAGGAGGTGATGCAGGAGCTGCGGGCCCTAAGAGCGCTGGTCAAGGAGCAGGGGGAGCGCATTAGCCGCCTGGAGGAACAGCTGGGGCGCATGGAGAATGGGGACGCGTAGGACCACAGGCCCAGTGGAGGCCGCTGCCCTCACCTCCACCTCCTCTCACTCAGCCTCTGTTGGCAGGTCACACCACAGGTTGACTGCCCCCTGCCGAGGGCCTCTGGGGCCAGTCCACACCCTGACCCATCCTGTGGGCCCAGGCTGGAGCCACTGCCTGGCTTTTGTCACTGTTACTGTGGAAGATTTTTGTACCATGGCAAGCTTATACTCTGAGGGACCATCTCCCCCACCCCGCCTGGCCCTCACTCCCTCCCTGGAGGAAGCTGGAGGGATGGGCTCTCTATTTTCATTTCAAATAAAATTCTCTTTCTAAAACCGGGTTTGCCCTTTTGCTGCAAGGGTGGGGCTGGGGAAGGAAGTCTGGAAAGCTGGGGAGAGAGGAGGCCCACAGGGATCACAGAAGCAAGGTCTGGGGGCCATGCACATCCCCCACAGCCATCACTTCCCTGAATTCTGCCAGGTAGAGAAACTGAGGCAGAAGACCTGTGGACACCTCCAGGGTGTGTCCTGCTTTGAGCTGGGTGCCCAGTCCTTCCTCTTGGAGGCCTGGTCAGAGGCCCCACAGCCCCAGCCTCGCCCAGTGAGACCTGTGAGCATCTGGTGTGCATCAGGGTGGGTGTGAGAGGCCCAAGGCCCCCACCAGGGTCCTGTGGCAGAAGGGCTGGGGGGGTGCTGCGGGCAGGAAGCGGAAGCGTCGAGTAACCCCTGGCTGCAGTTGAGAGCGCGAGAGCTCACTTCTCACTCAGCTCAGCCAGAGCTGGAGGTGGGCGCCCAGCTCTGAGAGGCCGGCGGACAAATGGTGAGCACTGTGGCCCACTGGGTCCGTGGGGTGGGGGCAACAGGAGGTCAGGGCCGGAACGTCTGGGCCCCGGGAGCTAAGGAAGTATCCCCCGGCGGAGGCCCAGCGGCAGAAGCAACCCGTCAGGAGCCAGGGCGAGACCCAGGACGGCCATGGGGCAGAAGCCGGGCCTCTCTCTCACCCCTCCCCAGAGCTGGGCCGCCCTGGGAGTCAGGGTGTGGCCCCCAGGGCCCCACTCCAGGCCTAGCCCCCCTTGCTGACCGGGGATAGACCCTCTCACCGGCTCCTCTGGTGAGCTGGGACTTCGGCACAGCCCCTCCTGCATCCCTGGAGCCTGGGCAGACAGAGCCCCGGGCAGGGGGAGGCTTGCTTGCACCTCGGCACCCCTCCCCCCTCCTCCCTCCACCTCCCTCCACCTCCCCCCACCTGCCTCGTTCTGACCGCAGGCTTCCTCTGGCAGCTGCACCCGCCTCCCCCAGCCCCCAGCAGGCCCCCAGGGACAGGGAGTTGAACGGAAACAAACGCCGCAGCTGGGGCAGTCCCGCAGCTGGGGCAGTCCCGCGGCTGGGAAGGCGGAAGAGGGGTCTCTGGGACCCTCATCCTGGGACCTGGCAAAGCAGAGGGTGAAGAGTTGCCTGGGAGCCAGTCCCGCCATCCCGGGCCTCAGGAAGAGCAGCTCCCCTCCTCCCTTCCATCCCACCCCATCCCAGTCCAGGCAGCAGGCTTGACACAGTCAACCAGGATGTGCTGAGCACCTTCTGTGAGCCAGGAAGCTTGAGACGCTAGAGCCCAAAAGATCCCTGTCTTCCTGCGGCTTATTCTGGCGGGGAGCTGAGACAGTAAACCTAATGGGCAAGCAGAGTTGTGGACTGTGCTAGGAGTTGGGGAGGAGAGGAAAGTACAGCAGGTGCGGGGCACGGAGAGGGCTGGGCTGGGCTGCGGGTGTGAATGTCAAGGGAGAAATCCAGGTCAGGTTAGGTGAGCAGGCCAGCCATGTGGCTCTGGGGGATGGAGCATCCGGCAGAGGGAACCACCAGGTCCAGGCCCGGGGCAGGAGAGGCTTACCTGGTGCAGTGGGACGGAGGGAGGGAGGGAGGGAGGAGGGGCAGGGAGGCGAGGGGCAGGGAGGTCAGAGCATCGGCGGCCGGGCCTCACAGGGCCAGGGCCTCACTGACCGAGTAAGGACTTGGGCCTTTCTGCTTGACTGTCCCCATGTTGCTCGAGAGGCAACCGAGGACCCAGTCACCCAGTGTGCCCACCACGGCCTGCCCCCAGCACCGGTGATGAGCCCTGCCTGTCTCCCCACAGGACCTGTCCTGCGCCCTAGGGCTCGGGACACTGCTGGCCCTGCCGGGGGTCCTGGGCTCAGGTAACAGTGCCCAGGAGGGCGCTGGCTCCAACTCTGTCACCATCGTCCTACTGCTGCTCCTGCTCCTGCTGCTGGCCACTGGCCTGGCACTGGCCTGGCGCCGCCTCAGCCGTGATTCTGGAGGCTACTACCACCCCGCCCGCCTGGGCGCCGCGCTGTGGGGCCGCACCCGACGCCTGTTCTGGGCCAGCCCACCAGGCCGCTGGCTCCAGGCCCGGATTGAGCTGGGGTCTCCAGATGAGGACCCCGAGCGGCAGGAGGATGAACAGGATGTGGAAGATGACTACTATGACATGGAAGGTGGCCGGGAGGAGGTTGAATCCCGGGAAGAGGGGCAGCCATGTGGAGAGGAGCCCAGCCCACAGCAGGGCCCAGGGCCGGCAGAAGAAGCACACGATGGTGACGCCAGTGATGCTGATGATGCCGAAGGGGCCCTGGCCCTCAGCTGCCAGGGGCCGGCGGGCTCAGGGGGCAGCGCGGAGGCTCTGCTGAGTGACCTGCATGCCTTTGCTGGCAGTGCGGCCTGGGACGACAGCGCCAGGCCAGCGGGGGGCCAGGAGCTGCATGTCACTGCACTGTAGGGGCCAGCCCTGGGGTCGCATCCCTGTCACTGTGCATCTGCTTCCCAAGCTGCTGTGGCTGGACACAGCCTGCCCTGGAGCCCCACATGGAAAGCCTCAGACTGTCACTCCCTCGACTAGTTCAGTCCCCCAGTCTGTGCATCCCCACCCCCTCCAGAAGGCCACCATCCCGTGCCCACCCAGGGCACTGGGCAGCCATCTGAAATAAAACCCCTACAGCCCTGCGGTTCTGTGGTTCTTTAGTGACCCCACCCCATCCCCAAGCAGGAGCTCCTCCTGACACGACCCCACCCACTCCCACCTCCAGAAGTCCCAAAAAGAGGCAGGTCAGTGCCATGATTCAGTACTTTAATTCCCCAAGGGCAACGCTCAGCTGCGGGAGGCCCTCCACCGGCAGCCGTAGCCTGCAACCCTTCACGTTCATGATTCAGGGGCACAGCCACCCCCACCAGAGACAATCACACTCACTCCTGCCCCCTAGACACACCCCAGGCCTCTGGAACCGGCCCAGGGTCCCGCTGCCCTCGCGGCCTGCAGGGAGGGGCTGCAACAGCTGCCCTCATCCCCACCCGTCCACCTAGCGCCCAGGGCGCCCACGGCCCCTCTTGGACTTCTTGGTCCCTGAGGGGGGGCGGATGGGGAGGGGGGCAGTGCTCGAGGGTGGCGGTGGTGGCGGCAGGAGAGGAGGTAGCGGGGGCTCCATGGGCTCTGGTGGGCCGGGGCTGGGCCGGAATCCCTCAAAAGGCGAGAACTTCAGAGGGCTGCAGGGGAAACCAAGCGGAGTCAGTGCCTCCTGGCCCCGGGGCAGGGGGCCCACTTCCCCACCTGCCTGGGTGCCTGGGCTGTGAGGTCAAGTGCCCATCCAGGCAGCCCCTGCCACGAGAGGTCCCCATGGTTGATGGGGAAACGGAGGTTAACACTGGTTAAGAGACTCGGCTGAGGCAGCCCTGGGGTTGACAGCAGAACCGAAGTTAGGACCACCGGAGCCCCCTGCCCCCAGCTCCACGCTCCCCTCTGCCCTGGGGTACCTGATGGGGGTCCGGGGGCTGCTGTTGAGGCGTCTGGGGGAGCGTAGCTTAGGCTGGAAGGAGAAGCCCTCCTTGATGCTGTCCAGGACGGAGGGCGCCACATACGTGAAGCCCTGGGGGGCAGAGGCAGGGCTGGGCGATGCTCCGTGTCCGGGTGTCTTTAGCCACCATCCCCACCCATGTCCCCATAACCCTCAGGGCCCCCAGGACCTCACCAGGAAGGCCTGATTGGCGCTCTCACTGAGGGCCGTGTCGTCGGGACTGTCCACTGGCGTCTGCCGCGTGAAGTGGGTGTCAAACTGGCTCACGTCCTCCTCTGACTGCTGTGGGCAGACCCGCGAGGGGAGGGGTCAGGGGGCGTCAAGACGGGAGTCCTCCACTCGCCACAGGGCCAACGCGATCTCCACTCACCAGACAGGGCCTGAAAGGGGGGTCCACGCGGCGGGCCAGGAGGTCGTCCCAATTGATGTGCCGGAAGAACGGGTGCCTCTGTGGGTAGGGTGCCCCCCAACATGCCAACATTTCACCCTCCTTGGCTCCCTTGGTAGCTCCCTCTGCCCTAAGGCCCTGCCCCCTGCACCCCTGCCCACTCATGGTGGTCGCAGGCCCACCTGCACATCGGCAGCGTCCCCTGGGCCACCCCCGATCCGCTGGCTGGGATTCCGCTTCAGAAACTGCAGGACAAGGGCAGAGGGGGAGAGTCTGGGGAGAGGTCCTGCTCATGTGCGCCCTGTTCCCAGGGGCTGGCTGGGTGTGGAGAGGTGAGATAGGGTGTCGGGGAGGAGGCCTCTGGAGCGTAGTCTCCACCTACTGACGCCCTCAGGACTTCCAAGGTTTGGTCCAGTGGCCCCTTCTCCAGGAAGCCTTCACAAAGGTGCCCGGCCGCCAGTATCGCCCCGGGGAGCACCTTAGTAGGGATCCGACTGCAAATCTGGACGGGGCACCTACCCCCCATGTTTACCCCCGTTGATTGCCTCTTTGATGGGAGAGCAGCGAGCTCATCCTGAACATTCTGCTGATCAGGACTTGGAAGAGGGACCTGTCCAGGGTCAGCAGCTGGTCTGCATCAGAACTAAGGCCCAAGCTCAGCATCTTGGACCCCAAAGCCAGTGCTCCTGCATCCCAAAGGCCCAGCGCACAGGCAGGGATGGCTCCGGATCCCCACGGCCTAGGGAGACTCAGGAACCCGTGCAGGGCCTGGGAGAAGCGATGGGGGGGGGGGGGGGCCAGACCAGGGACAGGAGGGAGAGGGAGCCCACCTTTTTGACAAGGTCCCGGGCATCCGGGGTGAGGTAGGGGGGCAGTGCCAGCTTCCCTTTGATGATCTTGTCCATGGTTTTCTTTCGGTTCTCCGCAGTGAAGGGTGGCTAGAGAAGGCAGAGGATGAGAGGACCCTTGTGGGCCTCCCACTGGGTGGGCCTTGCCCCTGCCCCGGGAGGGGGCCCTCCTCCCGCCCTCACTCCCATCCTCCCAAGGAAGCTGGACTTGCCGATCCAGTGAGCATGTCGTACATCAGGGCCCCCAGGCTCCACCAGTCCACCGCCCGGTTGTGACCACTGCGCACCAGAATCTCAGGGGCCCTGGGGGCCAGGTGGAACTGTCAGTCAAGCCAGGCCCTTCCTGGCTGTCCTCCTGACCCCTGGGCCCAGCCAGCTGCCACTTACATGTACTCAATGGTGCCACAGAAGGTGTGGGTGACGGCGCCCTCATGAATCGACTCCTTGCAGAGTCCGAAGTCCGTCAATTTGATGTGGCCTGAGGAAGAATGTTGGAGGGGGTTGGAAGGATGCCACGGGGCTCCCCATCCCTCCCCACAGATTCTGACCGACACATGCGCACCCTGGCTGTTAAGCATGATGTTCTCCGGCTTGAGGTCCCGGTAGATGATGCCTTGGGAGTGGAGATGGCCCAGGGCCAGCGTGATCTCTGCCAGGTAGAAACTGCAAGGACAGGACAGAGTGACAGCAAGGACAGGGGTGGAGCCAGGCCTTTGGGGGAGGGATCCCGGGAGCCCCTCAGGAGAGAGGCAGGAAGGAACACCTACCAGGCCGTGTCTTCCAGGAAGATGCCCTCTCGTTCCAGATGTGTGAAGAGCTCACCGCCTGCGACACAAACACGTCAGCAGCTGTGTGCCGGGCCCAAGCTCCTTTGTTCTCTGAGTCTTGGTTTCTTCTCGGGGAGAGTGGGGCTCGTCATTCCCGCCCTACCTGCCTCACAGAGCTGCCGTGGGGATTCAATTCAATCAGCAAACATCTACCGACGCCTACTCGGTGCCCGGCCCTGTGCTAGGCGAAGCTGGGGACACAGAGATGAAGAGACCCAGCCATCGCCCTTGGGACGCTCAGTCTACTGGGGAGACAGACATGCACGTGGCTGCTCTAACACACCAGATGGAGGCAGCAGCTCCAAGAGCTTAACCCAAGACATCTCACAGAGGAGAGAGAGGGGGACAAAATTAATCCCGAGGTGAGGGGAGAACAAGCCTTAAAGGGGGTGCTGAGATGGAGTGCAGGGAATGAAGCTCAGGGGCTCGTCAGGTACAGATGGGGCAGCTGGGAGAAGCAAGCCCGGACTGCTTCATGATGAACAGGGGACACCAGGCCAAGGAGGCCAGGCTTTCTCTGGGCAGTTACAGGGAGCCATGGAATTCTGAGTGTTGGGGACAATCCGTACTCTGAGGCGATGACCCTGGGAGTTAGTAGAGGAGATACTAGGAAGAGGGTGAGCTGGAGGCCTCCCCAACAGTGTGTCCCCCGCCCCCACCTGCCCCAAGAGGAGAGGATTGAGGACACTGCAGAGAATGAACCAACTGGACTTGGGACCTGACTGGATGCAGGCACACGGGAGAGAGGAACAGGACATGAAGGAGTAGTGGCAATGGACAAAACAACCCTCTGGACTTGTATACAAACTCCCAATGCTCCCATCCACCCCCAACACAGGTGAGGGACACAATAGGTGCTGGACAGATGTTTGCTGAATGAATGAATGAATGAATGAAGGGACGAACAGATGGATGGATGGACGGGTGTGGGGGCCCCCTGGCCATTCTACACACCCCGTCTCCCCGGGCTTCCCCCAGACTTCCAGGGCTCCCTGTGCTGGTTCCCGGGCCCTGCCCACACCCCTGCTGGGCCTGCACTCATACCACTGAGGCACTCAAGGATGAGGTAGAGTTTGCCACCAGTCTGGAAGGCATAGGCCAATTCCACAATGAAGGGGTGCTTCACTGACTCTAGAATGTTCCGCTCAGCCCGCGTGTGTGCCGTGTCCTTGGCGTTGCGCACAATTTTGGCCTGGAGAGACAGGGATCGGTCAGAAGTTGAGCACCCAGGGCGCCTTCAGTCCCTCCAGCCATTACTCTTCTGCCAGCCCCTGTCCCTCCATATTTCTCCATAACTCTGCTGCCTGCAAGCAGCAATCATCCTGCTTTATCCTCCAGCACAGTGTTCCTCAACCTCGGCACTAACGGCATTTCAGGTAGATAATTCTCTGTTGTAGGGGACTGCCCTGTGCACCGGAGGATATTTAGCAGCATCCCTGGCCTCGACCCACTGGATGCCAGCACCACCCCTCTCTAGTCGTGACTCAAAAACGTATGCAGAAATTGCCAAATGTCCCCTGGGAGGCAAAACTGCCCATGGTTGAGAATTACTGCAAAACAATATAATCACAATTGACGATAAACCAGTGAATGCAAAGACGGGGACCGTCTCCTCCGTCAGGTTCCCTGCCGTCTTCCCAAAGCCTGGCGAAGGGCATTGAGAATGGCAGCCACTCAGTAAGGATTTGTTGGTTGAATGAATGACTCACCTTCCTCAGGACTTTCATGGCATATATTTTGCCCGAGTTGGTGCCCTGCACCTTTCGCACCTGGAACACCTGTGGGGCAGGGGAGACAGGATCAACTTCCCTCTCCACCTTCTATCGTCAAAAAGCCCCACCCTGCAGCTCTGGCATTGGGACCAGGAGGCCTAGGCCCACCCAAGGGCGGGGCAGTAAAGATTTCAGGTCTGACTCTGAGAGGATTTGCCCCTCCCTCCTTTACGTGTCTAGTCTGATGTCTATCAGAGGCTCTACTGACTTACAATCTAATTTGTTCTGAGAACCCTTTGCTGCAGCAAGACTGAGGCTGCAGGCCAGTGAAGAAGGAGAGAGAGCCAGTACCTTGCCATAGCCCCCCTTGCCCAGCACACGCAGCAGCTCAAAGCAGTGGGGCCCAATGTGCTCAGGGCCCAGGTTCACACTGGTCTCAGTCAGCTCCACCTCCTCATAGTGTCCTACAGGCCTATGGACACAAGAAGTTATTGGGGGCAAGGCCCGGGTCCCCTTCCCCAGCCCATCCCCTCCTCTCCCAACACGACCCTCACTCACTCCAGGCCAGCCGCCCTCAACTCGGCAAGGGGACACACGTCCTGTGAGAAACCGAGGGGTAAGAGCCAAGAGAGGTGCCAGGATCCCTCCCCCCTAAGCTAGACTGCTTGGTCCAGGAGAAGAGAGGGTCAGGCACCGGAGCTGTCAGGTGATGGACCGAGACTGGGGAGGAGAGGCTGAGGGCAGTAAAGGGAGAATCAGGGGAAGGGTTGGGATCCTGGAAGACAGGTCGGGGTAGGGTAGGGTCAGAGCTTAATAGGACCAGGATCTGGGAAAGATCGCGGTCTGCAGGAGCGGAGCCTACTCTGGGTGGGGGGAGGCGGGGGGATCCCATCGTTTGGGCGATGGGATCGGCTCCGGGATCGAGCCGCGCCCGGGTGGACCACTCACCGCGGGGCTGAACTCTGGCTCGCCCTCGCCCTCGCTGCCTTCCTCTGTCTCCAGGTCCAGGTCAAACACGGCCGCCATGGCGGCGCTGGCCCCGCGGGCCCCTCGGCCCGCACCGGGCCGCGCTCTGACTGACAGCCCGGAGCCGGACCCTGTACGTTGTCATTCCGCGACTGCGGCCCCGCGCGCCCGATGACGCAAAAGGCTTTCTCCCCCCGCTGTCCCCCGCCGCCCGATCCCCGCCCCCCCACCACGCCCCACGAGCAGGTTGCTTAGCCTGCCGGGGAGAAAAGATGGCGTCCGCCGCAGGGCCTCGCGGGAATTGTAGTTTCAGAGTGTGGGGATGCCAAAGCCTGCGGAACCCTCTTCACGGGACCCTGTCTTCCCAGGACAGCTCCCCAGGGGCGGCACCGGACAGAGGTTGGCCTGGAAGGCGCCTACCTTGGCTCTGGGGAGAGTTTGAATTTGGATGGGGCACAGAAGCGCATGCAGGTGTGAGCGTAAATGTAATTCCTAGTGGAGCCTTGCGCTGCCAGGCTGGCTGGGTGACGAGAGGCAGCTTGCGTCTCCTTTCTGTTCGCCGCTGAAAGAGAGGCGGCTGCATCAGGGTCTCCCTAAGGTGCCTCCAGCCTCGAGGACCCTGCAGGTCAGAGCGTTTACTGGATGACAGGGTAAACTGGATGTTGCCAGGCTCCTGCCACAAAGGGTTTGGATCTCATTGATCCATCCGTAAATATGGGCTTGTGCTGCGTTTTCTCCATTGCCGGTTTAAGCACATTTAGTAATTCGGCTACCTGGTACAGAACAGGCACTTAATAAAACTCCACTGAAAGAATGAATGAAGGAACACCCCAAACCTGACTGTGACTTTAGATTTGGGCATGGGTTCTTGTTGGATGGGGCTCTGTGGGGGTGAATTTGGGCCAGACCGGGCCTTGGATGAGTCCTGATTGCCGGAGGCTGTCTGGAGGTGATTCCAGTTGGACAGTGGAGGCTAGATATGAACTCAGATGGACAGAACTCAGGGGGTCTCCAGGCTGGGGGAGGAGGGTTATCTGGTTGGACGTGGCCCTCTGGTTGTAATTCCACCCTCAGGAGACCCTCAGTTTTGGGTGATGGTGTGGGTGCCCTTGGCAGGCCCCCACTAAAGGTCAGCCCAAAGATCTGGCCATTGTGGCGGTTTATCCTTAGCTCCAGATGCTACAGGGGTCCCCTAGCCACCTCTCCCTCCTCCCTTCCTCACACTCCACCTAGCTGAGCCTGAGAGATGTTGTCTAAGTCACAAGAATCTGTGCCAGACTCCAGACATTTCACTAGTCCATAAGCCTTTATTGTATGAGGGATGCTTGTGGAGCTGTCCACAGCTCCTGTGCTGTGAAGTGGCGGGAGTTCTTTAAGCAGCCTCCCTGAATCGGGAAGGGAGAGTACACTCTCCTCTGCCAATGCTAGTTAGGTGTGCCAGAGCCCAAAACACTGGAGCTTGGAGAAGATGCAAGATGCAGGGGAAGGGGGTGTTCACATGTCTCCGGGCCACATATGAAGGAAGGAGGGCAGGGAGGTGAGCGGGTCCTAGAAGCTGAGTGGGCATGTAAGACTCAATAAAAGCAGAAAGCTGGCCCTTGCAGCTTGTCCCTCGACCTCGAGGCAATGGTGTTTCCGCTTTGAGCCTGTTTCCTCCTCTGTAGAAGGGGCCATAGTGTCTACCTGGAGGGGAGATGACTACGCCTGACCCCAGGTCACCGGCTTCCACTGCTCAGGCCAAATGAGGCAGGTAGGCACTGCCAAAAGGTGTCAGCAGGCTCAAGAACTAGACTGGAATTTGTTAAATGGGGGGGGGTGAGAGTAAGAGGACAGGGGCTTAGTCTCAGGTTTTCTTGGGATTTGTCTAAAGCCAGGAGCCAGCCAGTTCTCTCCTCTTCTAGATGGCAGAAAGAGAGAGAGCTGGAGGGGTGGGGAGGTTGGGGTGGGTTTGGGCCCACTCCACCTCCCTGGGTGCGCATGTGTGTGTATGGGCAGCTGTTGTTGCTCCTCCATGGCTAGAGTCCTGGGGCAGCTGTGGGCTGGACTGGGGCCTTTGGGAGGGCAAGAGGGCCCAGCAGCCCCCCCCAGATACTTTCTTCTGTGGCCCTCAAGCCCCGGGGTCCTTGGTGTCAAAATGGCCCTGCCACTCTGGAACAGCCCTGAGGCCTTGGAGTGGGCCCGGCCAGGGTTGGGGCAGGGCTATGGGAAGAGAGGCAGGGAGAGCACCCGGGAGCAGAGGGCAGCACAGTGCCCCACCAGCACTTCGGCCCTGCCCCCTGGCCCCAGCGCTATTTGAAGTGGGACAGGAAGTGGGCAACAGGATACTGAGGCCCGTCGATGCCCAGGCCCTGGCAGAGGCCCAGCAGGCGGAGGCGGGCCTCAGCGGGACTGGGCCCAGCACAGGCCACGCTGCAGTAGGGCTCCTCGTACTCGCCGGGCACCAGGGCCTCCTCCAGCTGATTGAAGCGCAGCAGGCCCCGGTCGTGAAGACCCTGCAGGGTCTCTCGGCTGGCAGTGGAACTCAGCGCCTGCAGGTGCTGGGACACCAGACACATGACACCCACCAGGTGGCCACGGGCACGTGGGTGGGTGGGCAAGGCGGGCCGCAGGCCACAGGCCACCATAGCAGCCGCCAGGAACAGGTCCACACCATAGAGCTCCAGGATCCAGTCTCGCAGGTAGAAGCCGCCCATGCGCGGGTTGATCTCGATGAGCCTTGGCCCAGCCCTGGTCAGCTTGAGCTCCACGTTGAAGACCCCATCCAGCAGCCCGCAGCCCAGGCAACAGCGGAAGGCTGCTTGCACCAGCTGTGCCTCCTGCTCCGGTGCCAGCCCGGTGGGCATGCAGGCTGCCGTCTCAGTGAAGCCAGGCAGCCGCGTGGGGCCATTGTCGGAGACAAAGGCAGCCAGCAGTCGCCCACCAAACAACACCAGGTCCACATCATGCTCAGTGCCCTCAACGAACTCCATCAGCAGCATGGCATTGCCCCAGCCCAGCCCAATGCCAGGGTGGTCGGCCTCGCCCTGCAGGTCGCGAGCGATCCGGGAAAAGTGCTCGTGGCACTGCGGTGCGTCCTCCACCAACCGCACGCCCACCGCGCCTGCCCCAAACTCCAGCTTCATGACACCCGGCAGGGGAACCTGGCGGACGGCCCGCTCCACGTCGGCCTCACTCTCCAGCGGGCAGCAAGGCACAGCATGGAGGGAGGGTGCAGGCCAGGGTGGGCCGTGGCGACGCAACAGGTGCAGCTGGGTGCGGCTCTTCTGCTTGGCCAAGCGCATGGCAGCCGGGGGGTTGCAGGGCAGACCCAACTCCTGGCAGAGCAAGGCTGTGAGCACCAGGCAATCGTCCCAGTAGGAGAAGCAGCCATCTAGCTGCAGGCCACGTGCCCGCACCAGCTCCGCCAGCAACCGTGCATTCTCCTCATCCCTCCGGTGCTCTGTCACGTCAAAGTGGATAAAGGTCTGCACCAGCTGGGACGCAAAGTGGTTAGGGTCCGACTCCACCAGGTGCAGCTGCAGAAACCACAGGAGGGCAACACACCTAGATCAGCCCGCGCTGGGCACTAGAGAGATAGATGAGGCCTAGAACGTGGTCCTGGGCCCCAGGGGAGACAGGTTCACCAACACTAAGTGCTCATAAAATATTTGTTGGTGGTCGAATAAATGGAAGGTGCAGAGGTGGGACACCCAACCCAGGCTGGAGGGGAGGGAAGGCATCCCAGCTTAAGCTGGGAGCTGAATAAGAGTCAGCTAGAGGAAAGGTGGCTGCAAGAGAGAAAGGGCGGGGGGGGGGGGGTGGTGGGAAACACCAGGCTTGGGGCTCTTGACAGTGGCCTGGTGTCTTTGGGCATCACAGTCTTGGTCATCATTCACACAATATGTTCCAACACTGGGAGGTGCCCACAGAGGATTCTGGTGGGGCCTCACGCCGCCCAAGCCCACTGCCCACTGGGGGAGCACAGACACAAAGCAGCTGGTACCCAGGGCAGAGGCCACCCCTGAAAAGGGAGGCGGGGGGTGGCTGTCAGCACTCTAGCACTTGGCAGCAAAAGGAGCAGAGAGCCAGTCCAGGTGGAGGACGTAATGCACAAGGCACGGAGCGAAGAAGCTTAGGAACGGCTGGAGGAGGTACCCAAAGCGGGTGCTGTACTGTGGGAGAGGGGAGAGGAGGTCACCGTGGTAGACAGGGGCCAGGAAGAGCCTAGACCTTTGGCCTCCATCTTCCTATCTGTTCAGAGGGAATAAGGTCTAACCGGCCTGCACAGCTCCAGATTCTGTAACGTGAGCCTACTGTTGTGAACCTGATTCGAGATCTGTAAGCTGCACCCGACCACCCTCCTTCTGTCCTCAGGAACTCAACCTCGAAGGGCCTGTTCTCTGCAGGCTAGAGCCAGGAGCCTTAGCTGGCATTCAAGGCCCGGGTTCTGGCACTAGCGCTGAATGCCGCCCCCGCCCCTCCAGCCCATCTACCCTGGGCTTCTCTCTTCCTGGAGGGCTGTGTGCCCTCCCCGAGGGGCCTCTTAAACCTGGCGGGGACAGAATTCGGCTAGGGGCCAAAAGTTGAGACGCCGAACCTGGGCCGCGAGGCGGGTCCGCCTCTACACCTGGGCTCCACGCCCCAACCGGACAGCCCCGCGCAGACCCCGCCCCTAGAGGTGCTGGCCCCGCCCCAAAGCCCACAGCACCCCTGCGCCCGGGGCTCCGCCCCAGCCCCGCCCCAGCCCCGCCTCCACCACTCCGCCCGCGCTCTCGCGCCCCGCCCACCTTGAGCCCGTAGTCGCGCGCCGCCTCCCACACGAACTTCTTGCTGACGCCGCCCGCGCCGATCAGCAGCAGCTGCCTGCCCTCCATGAGGCAGCGCGCCGAGCGCCGCAGCATCGTCTCCACGAGCGGCGCGGCCGCCGCCGCCTCGGCCGCCGGCCCGCGGCGCGGCGCGGCCCACAGCCCCTCGAGGGCGCCGCACGCCTCCAGACACAGGCAGCCGTTCAGCTCCAGGGCCACGGGGGTCAGCGCGCCCCCGGCCACCGTCAGCGCGAAGTCCACGCCTGGGCCAGGCGGGGGGCGCGGGGTCAGCGCGGGCCGCCCTCGGGCCTCGCCTCCCCCGCCGGCCCCGGCCCCGGCCCCCAGCCCGGGCCGCACGCACTCACCGAGGAAGTCAGTGCGGGCCCGGCGCCCGCCGCGCTGCTCGGCGCTCAGGCCGGTCTCCAGGGCCAGCACGGCGGCCAGCGCGGCCTCGGCCGCCGCCTTGACGCGCCGCCGCACGACCGCCACCTGCGCCGCCTCGCCCAGGCCGCACTGGGCCAGCGCCACCTCCAGCGTCAGCGGCAAGGAGCTCTGGTGCCGCAGAGGCCGGTCCCCACGGCCCACGCCGCACACCACCTGGGCAAGGGGAGGCTCAGGGGGCTGGCCCAGGAGGCGTTCCCCGAGGACTACCGGCCTCCCCCGTGCCAAGATCCAGGCCAGAACCCTCAGTGGACATTCGAGAAGCCCCGTCTTCCAATGTGACTTACGCTGCACGAAGCACCTTCCCCTGCCACTGTCCATCTGATGCCTAGACCCCAGCTAGGGTCTCTGCTTCGGGAGGGAGGGCTCCAAGCATGCTTGCTCCTAGCTGCTGCAGCCCAGGAGGGCTGTGCCTCCCTGGTGTGCCCAGCCCTAGAGCTCCCTGAGGGCAGGGGCGAGTCTCTCCCTCTCAGCTTGGCCCAGAGTTGTGTACCCAGGAGGGTCCCCAAGCCTCCCTGAGCTCCCCAGCTTGGAGGCTGGGGCTCCAGGCACTGGAGGTTTATCAGGGACCCTGAGTTAGCCTCTTCTATGGGCAAGAGCACCTGGGAAGAGGATTCAACCTTGGGCCCCAGTACCCAGCATGGGGTTCCAGGCAAGGCTCCTGATGCGGGAGGGGTGCAGGAAGGGTTGAAGTGGAGGGAAGAAGTGTCAGACCCAGGAGTCCTCCCAGAGACAACCAAGATCTCGCCCCAAAATTTTGTCCTTTCTCTGCCCAGGGGCCCTCATCAGCCCAGAGGGGCTGGGCTGGGTTGTGGCAACAGTCACCTTGCTCAGCAGGGGCCTGTCGCCCTGTGTCCGACACACCACAGCACAGATACGCACAGCCAGCTCAGGGCCGGGTGGGGGACTGCCTGGGGGAAGATGGTGAGGCCTGAGCCCAGCACAGAGCAGCCAGGAGGCCGAGCCGAGCTCCCATCACTGGCTGGCCCAGGTGGCTCTCACCTGGGAAGGGCAGCCGGGCAGGTGGGCACACAGCCTCCACCAGCACACTCTCCTCCTCCTCCAGTTTCTCCAGTAACGCCAGCACCGTGTCTACCACTGTACCCAGCTCTGTTCGTGGGTACAGACGCAACGCCTGCCGCCCCCGCCAGCGCCAGCCGCTGAGCTTCACAGCCACCTGCAACAGGGAGGGGAAGGGGGCCTCCTCACCACCCCATGTACCTGCGGGGTGGGGTGCTCATACCATAGGAGCCAATGAGTAAACTGAGGTAAGAAGGCAGGGGATTGCCACAGAGGGATGGGGCAGCCACAGGGCTCAAAGTTGGGGACAACTTCCCAGCAGAACTTGGTACACATCCATGGGTCCCATCCTGCTGGCATCTGCACAGCCCTCTGGGGCAGGAGCCTGTTACCTGCAGAGCATCACCCAGGGCCTCGGAGAGGAGAAAGGCCCCCACTTCCTCCTTCACCAGCGTCTCCTGGCCCTCTTTGCCACTCAGCTCCACCAGCCGTAGTCCCTGGCTGGCATCCCCTCCCCGCAGCAGTACCGGTGGCTTGTAGGTAAAAGCCAGTGTAGCTGGCACGACCACACCACCCTGCTGGGCCAGCAATCGCCTCGTCAGCAGCCGGTCCTCCAGCAGCCGGGCCAGCTCAGCAGAGGCTCCTGTGGGGCAGGTCAGGTCGCGAGCAAGCTCTGCTGCCTCTCGACCCCAGCAGGACCCCAGCCCCAGGCCCGCCAAGAAGTAGGTGGCACGGCGCGGGGGAACAAAGTCGTCCAGGAATGTCAGGCCCCCCGGGTGGAAGCTCACGGCCTTGGAGACCAGCAGGGCCGCCTCACCCGGCTGCCCGGGTGCTGGCACCTTCGTCAGCCAAGCAGGGGACAGGCAAAGGAGCATGTTTCCTGTGGGCAGAGGGAGGAGCGTTGCTGGCCAGGGAAGGCTTAATGCCCCTATGCCCTCCAACTCCAGCCTGGGCCCCTGGGTAGCAGGGGGCAGCTGCTCCCAGAACCCACCCCCACTCAGAGCATGGCAGCTGGTCCGCTGGAATGCAGGCAGTTGCCAGAGTTGCCGGGTATTTTGGGATGTGGCCGGGCCAGGGCAGGGTTGCCCTTTCTGTAGGAGGGGGTGGGGAACTTGGGCACACACTCACCCGGGCTCTGGACCCCACCCTCCAGCAGCACGGACAGGAAGGTGCTGGGGGATCCGAGAATGCACAAGGTCACCTCGGCCCCGGGGCAGCCTGGGGGGAAGAGAACATTACCAAGCTCACCAGGGGGTCCTCTGGCTGTCTTTCTGTCCACCTTTCCCCACCCCCACAGCTCTGCCCTCACCCTTGGGCCCCCAGGTCATTCCCAGTATGTTCCCTAACGGGATGGAGAGGGCGCTGGGGAGGGAAGAGGAAACTGCCTGCCCATCCCCGCCCTGTGAGGCTGGCTCCCTTCTCTCTACAGCTGGTCCGGAAGGCACTGGAGGCGGGGTGACCGGAGACCTGGGTTCTAGCCTGAGCTCTGCCGCTTTCTGCCCTGTGCAGTGGGCGGAGGAGTCTGTCGGCCTCAGTTTCCCCATCTGTACAGTGGGGCCAAGTCTATGATTTTCAGGTATTCTAGCTATGAAACCTCTGTGCACATGAAATCTTTTGTGGCCCCCTGATATAAAGACAGGTTAGCAGGGGCGGAGTCTTCGGTCTCAACTGCCAGCTGCCTCTAAGCAGCTCCCAAGACACTTCTAGAGAAGCTTTGGCTCCACAGAACATGGATTGCAAATCCCTGGGCTGGATCTCCCGGGGGCGGGAGGAAAGCCTCGGTTTCCACTGGTGCCACATGCCCTCGGAAACGGTGCCTGCCCGTGGGAGGCTGACTGGCCTTGCCTCCCTGGCTTCAGATGAACCTTGACAGGGGTGGGAAGCACCCTCCTCCCCCCCAGGAAGGCCACCCTCCGTGGAGCCCTCGGGCACCTGTGCGGGGCACCTGGCTGCGGTCCTGGGTCTCCGGAAGGCCAGCTTGCTGCAGACAGCTCTGCAGGAGGCTATAGTAGTACACAGTCCCAGCCTGGGCCTCCGCCCCCTCAGGGGAGCCCTTGCAGTCCAGGCCCACGTCGTGGCGCCAGGAGCCAGGGAAGCAGCCTGGGGGCGGCAGGCCAGAGCCCCCTCCCCAAGGGCACTCCTCTTCCTCCAGGTCCTTGGAGCCCAGGGGGCAGTCCCACTCGGGACTCAGTGGATCCAGGTGGATCTGAGGGGGCAGAAGTGGTGGGTCTCGGGCAGGGTGGGCAAGGAGCACATTAAGTCACCCACGGGTGTAAGCCCCCCATTCGCCTAACTTTGGGTTATGTTCGGGGCAGTACTGTCTCAGGAACCAGGAGAGGATGGGGTTGGGTTGGGGGATGAAGTCCCGTTACCAGGAACATGTAGGTGGGAGTGCTTTGTAAACTGGGTGTGCAGTGCCCTGGGGGGTGGGGGCAGAAGGCAACGAGCTGCTGGCTGGACCACTGCCCCCCATCCCACGCCTGGGTCTGCCTGAGCTTGGTTCACAGGGGCAGAGGTGTTTGTGAGTTTTGTTCATCGAGGCAGCCCGGGCACCTGAAACAGTGCCTGCCCCCTGTAGCTGGTCAATAAATGGCTGTGGACTGAAGAATAAATGAACCAAGCACTCATTCTCGGGCCGCTCACTTCTCTCTGGCCTCGGTGACCCATCTAACCTCATGGAGCTCTGCTGAGGTCTGAATGTGTAGGTGAATCTTTTCCATTGCCATCTCCAAGTAGGCCCTGAGGACCTACTGTGCACCCAGCCCTGTGCCAGGCATTGGTAGGCAAATGGTGGAGGCCACCTTCTTTTCACGTGTTCTGAGTCAGGGAAATGCTTTCTTGGGATGAAATCTTACACCCCTGCCCCTCTCAAACTGGCTTACTCCCGCATGGGGCTGCTCAGAGGCTCAGGGTGAAGACACATGGGGACACAGGTAGGCCTGTCCTCCAGGGGACAGGCTGGGCCACCTTGGGTAAGTCGTGAGGCTTCCTTGGGCCTTGTGGGTGCCTGGCACCTGTCCTCTCCCACCCTGGGATGCTGATGAGGCTAGGACCACGAGAATCACCTCCGTCATGGGGAGACAGTGTGCAGTGGCCAGGAGGGCAGAGTCTGGGCCTCGGACCTGGGCTGGAATCCTGGATCAGCAGTGCCAAACTCTGAGCCTGGGTGCCTTCTCTTAGGAGGTGAGTTCCCTGAGAGCCCAGACTGTGGGCTCACTGCCATGTCCCCAAACCCAGAATAGTGCCGGGCACACAGCTAGTGCTCAATAAGTGTTACAGAATGAATGAATGCCAAGGGGTCCAGCAGCGCCCACCTCCCAGGGCTGAGGGGGGAGAGGTGGAGTGTGTGGCACACAATAGCTGCCTGTCTAGAGTGGGGAGTCAGAGGCGTGTGTGCAGCTGGTCAGGGGTCTGAGCTTCTGCACAGGGTACCCCCCAGGGGTAGGCTTCTGGGTGCCAGAGGCTGCCCCTGGGCCCCCCCTCTGCCCAGGGGCTTGGGAGAGACCAGAGGAGACTCACCATCTTACAGGTGGAGAGGCTGAGAGACTGATGACAGAGACAGAGGGACAGAGACAAAGCAGAGAGTCAGGGCCGCCAGGTCTCTACCCCACTGCCCAGCCCCTAAGACTCTTGGGGCCAAGAGGTGGCCGCCTTGGTGCCTCTGTCCTGTCCCTGCCAGGAGGTGTCCAAGGCTGCCCCACCCCCACCCCAAGTAGCCAGAGGAATTCCTGCCCGCCGGACCCCATGGCTCCTGCACCCCGAGCTCACACATCCCGGGTTGTACTGGGCAGCCCCGGGGTGCCGGCACTTGACCGTTCCAACGGAGGTGGGGGTGGGGGGGCACGCCGGGTCCTCGCGCGCTTGGCAGGGGGCGGGTAGCGTCGCGGGTCCTGCTGGGGGGCGCGGGCGCTCAAGGTCCCCGTCCCCGCGGCCCCTGCCCCCGCAGCCCCCCTCCCTGGCTCTCCCCGGGGCGCGGGCAGGAGCCGGGGTACCTGGCGGGCGGCAGCTGCTCGGTGGGGCTCGCGGGCGGCGGACGGGCCAGGGCAGGGCGGCGGCGGTGGCACGGCTCGGGACTAAGGCGGTGCCACTTTATATAGAAGCGCCAGGGGCATGCCCAGTGCCTGGCGGGGGCGGCGCGGGGGGCGGGGGGCGGGGGACGGGGGGAGGGCAGGCTATTTGTGCCGGGGACCCGCCCCGCACCTCCCACCAAAACACTCAACCCATCCCAGGACCCGCGGTACAGCGGGTGGGTGACATCCGACCCGCAAGAGGCAGGGCGCTGGGCGGGCCAGGGAGAGCCAGCCAGAGGGACAGACAGGGATCTTCAGAGACACAGACTACGGGAAACAGAAGACTAGGTACCAATGGTCAGGGAGGGTCTAAGAGGGTCACAGACATAGGGCTGTTGTGGTAAAGAGAAGACAGAGATGGGGACGGGGACGGAGAGATAGAGAAAGTCCCGTAATGGAAGAGAGAGAGAATGGGGAGAGAGGGAGAGAGGAGGGGAAGGGCGGGGAGAGCTGGAGGGTGCACAGACTGGTACTAGGGCCCGCCCTTGGGGGTGGAGTGGCCAGGAGAGGGCTGGGGCACACAGCCAGCGGAGAGCCCTGCCCTTGGATGGAGTCCTGAGCTCTCAGGCACTCCCAGCCCCGCGGCTGCCTGTCCCAGCCACGAGCTCTCTGCCCCAGGGCAGGCTCTCCCAGACAGGCGCTCTCAGGCAGGGGTCCCTGTACATCCAGCGGGTCCCTTCCTCACCTCTCCCAGCCCCTACTAGAGTAGTAACCACTCAGGAAGAGCCCCACAAGGGCAGTCCCAGTTCCCTGGGGTGCCCTCTGCCTGCAGGGGGCCAAGAGGGAAGGGAGTGGCCAGCCTGGGGGGGTTCAGTGGGTGAGAGCACGGGAAAGGGGGTGTCTACAGGATGTGCCCTGCCCATCAACCCCCAGGTCAGCTGGACACCTGCAGCGATACCTACAGTCTCCTCCAGACACACATCCTTACACCCAGGTGCACCCCCCCAAGCATTCACAGAAGCACACACCCCAAGAGACCTGGCTTGCAGCCACAATTTTTTTTAATTATTTTTTATTATTATTTTATTTTATTATTTTTTTTAAAGATTGGCACCTGAGCTAACATCTGTTGTCAATCTTTTTTTTTTCCCCTTCTTCTCCCCTAAGCCCTCTGGTACATAGTTGTGTATTTTTAGTTGTGGGTCCTTCTAGTTGTGGCATGTGGGATGCCGTCTCAGCGTGGCCTGATGAGCGGTGCCATGTCTGCACCCAGGATCCAAACCGGTGAAACCCTGGCCTGCCGAAGCGGAGCGTGGGAACTTAACCATTTGGCCACAGGGCTGGCTCCCACAGACACAGATTCACCCCAAGAAACATGCCCAGACTCACACCCTCTCCCGGAGTGTGTCACACCAGGCGAGTTCTGATCCTAGCTCCAGCTGTGGGACCCGGGCACCTCCCCTTTCTGGTCTGAAGCTCTCTTTTCTCCTGCCCAAAATGGGGCGGGTGCCCACCTCACAGGGCTGTGGTGAGGATTAACATAGGGGCCTGCGCCCAACACATGTAGGATGTTGTCACAGTTCCTCCACCTCACACCCTGAACTCAGACCCTCTGCCTAGAGCCCCCCAGCTGTCCCTGAGAGCCTCCTGGAACGAGGGGCGGCCACCCTAGAAGGTCCCTTCTCTTTCTACGCGGGTAGCCCACGCTTCAGTGTGAGCCCACTGGTGGGACAGAGGCCGGGCACCGATGGCATCAAAGAGCATGAGCTTTGACACTTAAGGGTAAAACCCGAAATTCAACTGAGTAGATTTTAAAGATCTTGTTGGCTTTATTCAACGATTCATGCATCGGACAGCATCGCATCTGGCAGGTAGAAAGGAGCTCCAAGGAGCTGTGCAAAATGCAAGACTTTGCCAGGAAGGAGGGAGGAACAAGGAAGTTATCCTGGTAACAAAGCGGGCTGGTGATGGCGAGGTCCCTTCCTTTTAGGGGGTGTCAGGGGTCTCTCAGGCGGATCACCTGACCGGTGCTGACCGGGTGATTCCTGACTTACTGCTCTAAGATTCCGTTTCTGGGAGAGCCGAAACTGTAACTAAGTTAGCTCTCAGTGTGGTGACTTGGGGCTTAGCATAAGCGACTCCATTCGGGGCCTGTTGTCCTGTTTTAACACAAGCTATGCAGCCTCTGTGGGCTCAATTTTCTCGTCCTCAGGTGGGGATTACAATGCATCCTTTAGCCCAGGCTCGGCTGCAGGGGCACCAGGTGGGAGGTGAGCACTCCCTAGCAGGGTCAGCAAGGACTTCTTGACCTTGTCCCAGGCGCTGGGTGAGGGCTTTTACATGCTGTATCTCACTTAACTGTGAGGTCGCAGTTATGATTCTCTGCCTTTTACAGATGAGGAAAGTGAGGCTCAGAGAGGTGGCATGACTTGACCAAGGTCACACAGCTGGTGAGAGGCGGAGCTGGGCTCTTCCCTTTGCCAGAGTGCGTGCATACATGCACAGACAGCAGTGTGGTTCTGTGCCCGGTCCCAGACCATCCCAGCTGGGCCCCGGCTGTAATGGCATTTGCCTTGTGGATGCAGGGAGGAAAATCAGGGTTGGGCAACTGCAGCTCAGGCCCAGGGCCCTGGGACTTTGGGGCAAGCAGCCTCGCAGGGCATTTCTGCTCTGTCCCTACCAGGAGGGCCTCGAGCTCACTGGAGGCTGAGCTGAGCCAGGTAGGGGTGGGGTGAGGAGAGGCAAGGTCTCCGCTGCTGCTCAGCTGGACTGGACAATCATCATCACAACAATGAGACTGACGAGCGCTCTTGGGGCTGGGGTGGGGGGAGCAATTATTATCCCATTCTCTGTAGGAGAAAACCGAGGCTCAGAGGAAGTGACGGGGACTTTCTCATGCAGGGACTTTGCAGGGAGTCCAAGTCTGGCCTCTGGACAGTGTGTGGATGGGGGGATCCTCTGGGGTGGGTAGCACTGCAGGATGGAGACCATGGGCCCTCCCCACCCCACACCAAGGCAGGAAGCCATTTGCCCTTCCACTTTGACCCAGCCCGATGCACATCCCTGGGAGCCATCCCAGCTTCAGCTTCTGCACGCTGAGTGCTCTCAGGTACATGGCTTGCCTTCTCTGAGCCCCATTTCCAGGTAAGTTTGTAGGGAGCTGGGGTTGCCAGGTTCACTGAGTATGGTTGTGCAGGTTGCTCACTGCACAAAGGTACCTGGCTGAGTGGTCACTTCCCCTCTACCACGCAGGGCTGCACATGCCTGGAGGGGTTAGCGCAGCCCTGTGGAGACAGCGGTGTGTAGAAAAGCGTCAGTACGAGGAGAGCTGCTTTTCTGGTCTGAGCCCTCAGCTCAGCTCGGGCCCTGTAGGTGGCTGGCTGATGATGGGACCTGGGGAAGGCCTGCCCAGAAAATGCTTCCCTGAGTAGAAAGGGCAGTGACTCAGCCCCAGCTGGAGGGGCCCCACCGGAGACCACCTGCCCCTCGGGTCTATATCCAGGGCGACTCACTGCCACTGTGGCCCCCTCCCTGGCTCATGATGGACTCTCCGGCCTGGGGCCGAGGCTGCTGCTTCCCTGCTCCCCTCCGCTCCCAGCAGAAGAGCTGAGCCCGTGGAGGGCAGGCAGCTATGGGCGGACTCCCTAAGCTCCCTGCAGGTGTGTCCCATCACCCCCTGCCCCACACGGCGCCTGGGATTCCTTAGATGCCCCTCAAAGGCTAAGACATTGTCGAGAAGGCACAGAGATCTGTGCTCAGCGGCTCTGCCCCTCGCTGTGATCTTGGACCCTGGTACTCAAGCTGGCCATTTCCCCTTGCTCTAATGAGGCTGTCACTGCCACCTGCAGAGAGAGGGGGTGTGGGGTGGGGAGGGGCTCTGAGAAAGGGGTCTGTGAACTCCAGGTGAGTGGGTCATTATTAAGCTGCAGGGACCCCAGGGGGGAGGGGAGGGGAGAGGGAGGGCTCGGCAAGCTCTCTTTAACTCACAGGGCCCCCCCCCCCCCCCCCGGCTGCCCCACACTCAGAGGGGCTGGGACCCAGGCTGGGGCAGGGCTGGGGGGAGTGGGCGGGAACAGGAGAGAGAGCACCCCAGGAGACAGACCAAGGTGGGTTCCCAGTGGTGGGTGGCAGGTTCATGGCTGCCGATGTGGGGCAGGGGTAAACCTTGGGTCTGCCATTGGCAGCGAGGCCTTGGCCAAGTTCCCTCCCCTGCTGAGCCTCAGTTTCCCCCCGGGAGACAGTGGATCTGGGTCTGGAACCCCATGATTCCCTCCTCCAGGCTCCTGGGGAGTGGGATGGTCTTCCCTGGACCCAGGGCCTGGCCAGTCACAGAGTAAGTGCCACAAGAACATACGTAGAGTGAGTGTATTCTTGCACCCGGTGGCTCTGTCACTAGGCCATTCTGAATCAGTGGTCTGATGGGTGGCCACGCCCATGTTCCAGCACAGCCATTGGGATGGGCAGACTGAACACTCCACCATTTAAGTGCGACTTCAGAAACTTTCTCCCGGCACCCCCGAATCCTGCCGTGCCCCCTACCCTCCACTCTTCGGGGGAGGATGCTCAGGGAGGCAGGACACCGGGAACGGGCACTGCAGGGACACAAGCCAGCATGGAACCAGCCCCGTTCTCCTGGCGATGGCTCACGTCCCAGGCACCCCAGGCACCCATGGGGGCAATTAGAGAGTGTGGGAGGGGGTTTCCATGGCGGCAGTCCCAAGGGGGTGCAGCCGGGCTCAGGGAGAGGGCAAGGGCCAGTGGGACCTTTCTCCTTTGTCTTGGCACACTAGGCCTTTGTTCTCGCTGGCTCTCTCTGTGGACAGGACCAGGACCATGGGTGGAGGGCGGACTTGGATTAGAGTCTACCCACCCCTGGGTGTCCCGAACCAGTGGCGCAGGGGGCAGAACAGGGGATAGAATCCCACTTCTAGGGCCAGCATCCACCTGGGGGGCCCTCCTCCTACAGGTGCGGGAGCCTTACCTGCCCCCAAGAGGTTGGGCAAGGCAGCTCACCACTGGTTCCTGTTGCTGGTAAACACCTGCCAGCAGCCAATGGGCAGCCT